GGTGACAGGGCCGTCTACCCGGCAAGACAGGCGTGTCCGCTGGGCCCCGCCCCGGGGACTGCTCCCTCTCGTGCCCACGAGTGGGGCCCCACAGTGAGGCCAGCTGAGGAGGTGGAGAATGGGTGCCCCTCGGCTATGCTTGCGGCCCTGGGCCCCGAGCCAGAGGTGCAGCGGCTTGTGACGGAGGAGGGGCGGCCTCCCACCCCAGCTGTTAGGGACCCTCGGCTGGCCCCGTGAGCGCTAGCGGCTGGACACTGGTTTCTCCCGAGACACGGACGGAGCCCCGCGCTGCCCTGCTCCTCCACCCTGGCTCAGCAGAAGTGTCCGCCGCCCCCGCACCATGAGTCTCCCTCCCCAGAACCTGCAGTGGGCACCGCTCTCCCTGGTCCCCACGTGCAAGGACCAGCTGACACGGAACCATCACCAGTCGCGGGTGTGAGCACACAGGCAGGGGGCCCTGTGAGCAGGTGCCGGCTCGGTCAGCACCGCGGACAGTGGCCGTCCTTTTCTGCGGCCAGGTTCCTCTCCGGAGAGCCTCTGTCCTCCCCAGGGGGACTCGGCTGTGTCTGGACCACCGCTCGCCACCCGTGAGCCTGCTACCCACTCCTGCCCCACGTCCCACATCCACTCCTCTCACGGGCTTTGCGGGCAGACAGCTGACTCCCACCCTTTCCCTGAATTCTCAGCCTCTTCTGGGGGGGGCGGGGGGACTGCCGGCTGCCAGGCGGGGAGGGAGCCGCAGGAGGACCTTCTTCTGGGCTCAGGAGAGCTGCCTGCCCCCAGGGCAGGACCGCGGCCAGGGCTGGAGGGGGGCAGGGTGCAGGGTCGAGGGCCAGGCGAGTCTGGAGAGTAACTGAGTCAGCAATGGGGAGGGGCCAGGTCTCCACCGAGGCAGGTATTTGGTGATTTGGATGAGAAACGGCAGAAACAATCATTTCTCCCTTTGCTCGCCCCCCCCACCCCGGGCAGGAGCTGCGTGTGCCCTGTGTGCATCACTTCGCAGGACTCTGCAGGGCCGGTGGTGTTCCCAGGTGCTTGCAGAGGCTGTGGCATTCACGTGGCCCTGGCCCACGGCCAGTTGGCAGTGCGGTGGGGGCAGGCGTGGCTGGTCATTCACCTCTCAGGCTCTGCGCTCCTCTCTGCAGAGGGCCCTCTGCACCCGGCACATGGTGGACATGCAGAGAAGGTGGCTGTCCCTGATGCAAGAGTCACCTGCTGCTAGACCCCCGCCCAGACCAAAGGGTAGCCTCTGGGCGGTGAGAGTCCGGGGCCTTCTCTGGGGGCTCCCAGGGCTCAGGGCGCTCGTGAAGGACCACGACCAAGAAGAAGAGCGAGGTCAAGGATGACCCCCAGGAGGCATCCGCTCAGGACTGACCCCTGGCCCTGCAGCACCCTGCTCCTCACTGCTCTGGGGCTGTCCTGCGCCCCTCAGAGCCACGTGGGGCCCAGCACATGCAGGGCCAGCCTCCTCCCTCCTTCCAGACTGTGCAGTGGGCGCGAGGGCCGGTCGGAGCCACGGGGCAGGAGGAGTGGGCACTGCCTGCAGAGTGCTCCCGAGCCCACCCTAGAGAGCACCAGTCCGCCCGCAGCCCCTGCCCCCTGGCTCTCTGGCCCCCTCTGGGTCCCGTGGGCAGTAATAGCTGAGTGGAGGGGCAGGGGGCGCTCAGGACGGCAGCCCATAGGTCCCCCTGACTTTCCTGGCCAGGCTTGGGGTCCCAGGGGGTGGGCACGCTCATTAAAGCACATGCGCGTTTGTGCCCAAGTCTGGGGTGCAGTGAGGACCTGCTGGGTGGGATAGCCCTGGGAGACCTGGGCTCTTCCTTGGCCTTTCGCCTACGCCTTCCCTGTGGGGCTCCTGGATGCCCGGAGCCTTCCTGCAGAATGGACTCAGGCGGTCCAGCCCTCCTGCGCCTGCCGCCCGGGCTTGGCAGTCATCGGTGACAGGACGCTTGCCCTGCGTTGGTACGCGTGTGTGTTTGCTGTAGAGATGGGAATGTGTCACAGTTCGGAGATAAGCCTGAGCTGTTGCAGCGGCTGGGTAATTAGGGTGATTGTGGGCTTCCCCAGCAGACGCTGTCCTCCCACCATCTCGAGCCTGCTTAGTGGGGGCTCCCGAGGGCACATGGCCCACTCCCTGCCTCCAGGGAAGTGGCAGGACTGCTAGGAACCCAAACACCCCACCCCAGAGGACCCCAGGGCTGTGGGAGGCCAGCACATCCAGGGCTGAGTCACTGCCCAGGGTGGCAGGAAGCTTCACTAAGGAGAGGCACCTCTACACTGGGTTTTGAGGGGTGTGTAGAAGTCTGCAGGGCTGAAGACTTCCTTGGCAGAGGCAGCAAGTGGAGGAAGATGAAGGCAGGGAGGGAGTGCCAGGGTTCCAGGGCAGCCCCCCTGCCCCTGGCCCTGCGTCCTGGCCGGCCTCACCTGGGCTCAGCGGGAGGCTCCTGGGGGCCAGGCCCGCGAGCAGCTCAGAGGGGCAGGGGCAGGCCCGTGGCGTGGGGCCTGTTTGGTACACCTTGTCCGCTGGGCAGCCGTGCAGCGGCTGGTGAGGTGGCCATGGCGTTCCCTCAGGGCACACAGCCTGGCAAAGCCCTGGGCGGTGGCACCGGCGGCACGGTTTTGGGCCTCTGGAAGAGGGGCCGGCGTGGCTGTCGGGCTCCCTGTCACTCGGACACCCATTTGTTTCCCTTTTCTGGAAGCAGGGTGACGTTTCCCCTCACGTGTCTGCGATTCCTGCCTCCCGAGGACACGTGTGCACGGCTGTGTGAGGGCTGCGTGTGGGCGCGTCCTCCTGCCCGTCGGCCCGGGCGCGCCGGCCCGTCTGCTCGGTACCCCGGTGCCTGAGCTCCTTCCTGTCCCTCTCGTTGTTTGCCGCAGGGACTGGCCCTCAGAGCTGGCCCAGGGCTGTGCCCACCTGTGTTCGGGAATGCACAGCGATGGCACTCTGCCCTGGGGGTCTCTCGGGCTCCTGTTCCAGCCCTATCTGGCCTGTAGCTGTCTCCTCTGGGGAGGTGTCCGGCCGCCTCGTCCGGTGTCTGACCTGGGCCTTCTGGACTTGGAGGAGCTCGTCCCCCGTGGGGTAGCGGCTTTTGCTGCCCATTTCCCCAGCTACCCTGCCCTGTCAGCCTTGTTCTGGGGACTTGCCAGGCACACGTTTTGCTTCTAACTCTGGCTGGCGCCTGCTGTCTAGATGGCAGGGCTGGTGGCAGGGCCGGTCCCATCCTGGGGGCACTGAGTCCCTGGGCTTCCAGCCTGAATTACAGATGGACGCCAACAGCACCCTCCTGCTGTGTGCTCTGTGCTCTTCCTGCTGACCTTGAATCACAGGACTCAGGCCAGATCAAAGGCAGCCGGCAAGAGGCTCCAGGGGTCTGCAGGCCTCCTTGGGGTGGGAGCTGGGCCGGGGGGGGGGGCTCTGCGGGCACACCCTGCTGGAGCCCAGGAGCCCATCTGTCCTTCCCTGAGTGTGCACACGAGCTCCTGGCCCTTGGGCATCGCCCACAAAGGCCCAGGTCCCCCACCTGCCACTGCTCCTGCCTCTGGGCAAGTATGGTGTCCTCCCTCAGCCAAGCTCCCTGTGCCCACGGAGAGGCTAGCCTGCAGGCCCATCCAGCCCAACACCGGGGGAGGGCAAGAAGCCGTGCTGAGAAGGACAGCCGTGACCGTGCTCCACGGAAGGACACAGAGGCCACGTAAAGTTACGGACGTGCGGTCCGTTAAGGGAAGGTGTTTTTTATGCATGTGACAGGGATTCATTTCCCATAAAAATTGAGGGGCTCGTGCAAATTGGTAAGAATCCCCCAAACCCAGGTGAACCCAAGCAGCTGGTGAGCATGACAAGGAGCTCAAGGTCACAGTTAAAGCAGCAACAACTAGGGGGCCGGGTCACCCCAGAACCATGGATGGGGTGGGTGTGCAGTCGGGGTCCCGACTTTGATCAAATCTGATGACACAGTGCCGGTGCCCCTCAGTGTTCACAGAAAGGGCATCCCAGGGTTGGGCTGTGATGCCATGGTGAACGGGGTCCCCCGGCCCCCTGTGCCCCCAAGTGCAGGAGGTGGGTTCAGCCATCATGATCGCCTTCACGTGCCCACCTGGGAATGAAATCACCTTGGGGAATGTCGGGGTTGGGGGCCTAGGCTCAGGGATGGAGAGGTGGGGTGTCCTGGGCCTGAGCCCACAGAGCGGTCCAGCCAGAGGTCTGGAGGGTGCTGGCAGTGGCCGGGGCTGCAGTGGGGGCGAGGCTGCTGGTGGCCCCGGAGGCCTGTCCCAGCCAGGGAGGGGAGGGAGGAGAGGCGGAGGCCTGGCTGTGGCCACACGACAAGGGGGCGGCGACCAGGACCATAGACGTGTGCTGGGGCTCAGGTCCTAGAAGTGGGGCCGTGAGGAGGACTGAATTAGTGTTCTGCCCTGGGGGGGTCCAGGGGTGGGGGGCGGGGCAGGGGGGGTGACAGGCTGGGGTGGTGCCGTCCAGGGAGTGGCCTTGGGCCCATTGTACTGTCCTGGAGACAGCAGCGAGCCGGACACTGTCTGGACATCTCTGCCCAGAGATCTGCAGGCTGAAAGGAAGTTGGTGGGTCGGGTGGCAGAGGCTGAGCATCCCGGAGGCAGGGGTCCCTAAGGGTCCAGGCAGGGGGTGGCCCCGAGTCTGAGATACCCTGGCTTTCCTGCTGGGCAGTGGCTGAAGGCCTGGAGTGGGGGGACTCTGGGGGTCATGGCCTCGAGAGCAAGGGGAGGGTCTCAAGGAGGTCAGAGGGCTGGTCCCGTGGGCAGAGGATGTGGTGTGGGGCAGGGATACTCCAAGATGGAGCTCTTCTGGGCAGTGACCAAGGAGCGTGGGACGGCGGACAGCGGCTGTGGGAGTCCCACTTGAGGCGCACTGGGCGGAGAGGGGTGGGGGCAGGGCCCAGGCCCTGAGTGAGGGGCCTTGAGGGGGAGCAGGTAGGCCCCTGCTGGTTGGAGCCCTGGATGGGGTCTCAGGGGGCTTCTCTACCCTGCAGGCCTTGTGAAGCTGGGGATTCACTGTGTCACGTGCCAGAAGGTGGCTATTAAAATTGTCAACCGGGAGAAGCTCAGCGAGTCTGTGCTGATGAAGGTGAGCTCAGTGTGGGGGGCCTGTGGTGAGAACCCCGGGGGCTGCAGAGAAGCCAGCCCAGGTGGGTCCCACTCGCTTGGTCCTGCTGGAGCACAGGTGGGCGGCTCCAGCCACAGAGCGGGCTCCCTGCGCTGCTGTCCTTTGACCGTGACCAGCACCCTCCGTGCTGGCTGCCGCCCACCGGCCAGCCTGCCCTTTCTCCTGGCCTCAGCCAGGAACCTGGGAGGGACAGGCCGCATCCCGGGGCACCGTCTGGGCCCTGTGCCAACCTGCTGGGGTAGCCAGTGGGGCCTCAATTTCCCCAGTTAGATTCAGGAGGAGGCCCCTGCCTCAGAGAGGGAAAGAGGACATGACACTTCCCGGGACGGGACCACACCACCCCTCCTGCTTCCCGCCCTCCTCCCTCCCCAGTACTGGGAGCCCCTCGTGTGGTGGAGTCTGGGCCCCCTTTGGGACTGGACACTCAGTGGGAAGGGGTTGCTCAGGCCTCGGGTTCCCCCATCTATCTGTCTGCTCACCCGTGGGTGTGGGGCACTCAGACCTTCGCAGGCAGGTGGCATGCTGGGGGGTCCCTTCCACCACGCCTGCCGCTGCCCTGGGGACTGTGCCGCACATACTCTCCCAGCCATCTCCCGAGGGGGCACGTGGGGCCAGCATGCGAGGAGGGCAGTGATGGGCTGCCTGAGGGGCGGAGGGTGATGGGGGAGCTGCTGATGGGGAAGAGGACCTCGCCAGAGGGCAGGGAGTGACTTGTGTGGGCCCCACTGGGGAACCCCAGAGACCACAGATGGGGCAGTTTTAAGGGAAGGTGATGCTTGCTTGGATGGGAGCGGGCAGACCCTGACCTTCCTTTGGACAGCACCTGGGTCTCACATGTTCAGTTGGGGACACTGAGTTCTAGCTGCCCATAAGCTCTCCGAGCAGAGACACAGAGCTCAGTGGCAGGGGCCTGAGGATCTAACTGGGGCCCACCCCCCTGAAGGCCTGGCAGGGCCGGGGTGGAGGGGCTGGGAGGCAGCCCCCTTGTGTGATGCCCCTGGGATGGGATGGGCCAGTCCATAGGGGTGCAGACCCCATCACTAGGCTGGCCCTCCTCCAAGCCTCCTGCTGCCCCCATGACCCAGCCAAGGCATCCAGGCGGGCACGGGCCACTCGATCTCTCTGTCTCCCCACCAGCCAGAGACCTCTGGAGGGCAGGGCAGCATGGCATCGGTGTCCCCCACCGCCCAGCCCCAGGGCTGTGGGTAAGAGGTGACGGGGTGGTGGATGCAGGGAGCAGGGCAGTGAGCCTGCCCCCAGATGGACCTCTTCTTCGCATGCAGGTGGAGCGGGAGATTGCCATCCTGAAGCTCATCGAACACCCTCACGTTCTAAAGCTGCACGATGTTTATGAAAACAAAAAATATTTGTAGGTATTGCCGGGTCTGGAGAGCCGGGGTGGGGCCTTGGGGAGGGCACAGGCAGCCCCCCGGGCAGGGGGCCCTGGTGAGGAGGGAGCTCTCAGGAGGCTTCCACGGTCAGCGCTCCCGGCCCAGACCACGGCAGAGTCACCAACTGTATGGCCTCCCTGAGCTCACCTGGGCTGTGGGTGGTGGTCCCTCCCAAGGTCACTGCAGGGGGGGCGTCCATCCCTGTCACTCCTGCTTGTGTGACTATAGGAGGCCCGGCCTGTGATGCCCAGGCCTCAGGAGGGGCCCCGGCGGCACTGTCCTTGGGCACGTTGGCACTGAGTGAGGAAACGTGAGCAAGGGGCTGGCCCGGGGGACCCTCGAGGGCTCGACTCCAAGCCCCAGCCCCGAAGAGGCCTGGGTGCCTGCTGGACGGAACTGGCTGGCCCAGGTGGCCGGCCACAGCCCACCAACACTGTTGTGGGCAGTGGAGGTTGGGGCACGAAGCCGGCCACCCAGGGCTGCCCGGGGGAGCAGGAGGGCTCGGGTACACGGTTGGAGGACGGGCCCTGGGTGCAAACCGCGGTCCCTCCTACACGTGACTCACTCTTTGGGCCTGTTTCCTCAACGCCCTGGCATTCCCACTGCGCCAGCCGGGACCCACGTGTTTGAGGGTTAGGGTGACGGGAGCCGCCCGGTCAGCACGGGTGTGGGGGTGCTGGGTGGCAGGCCCCTGACACTGCGAGCACAAGGAAGTCTGCCCCCAGAGACAACACCTGCATGGCCCCCCACCATCGGCCTCACCGGGGGGCCCACCTTGCAGTGTCAGGGGCGTCCCAGGAGCTTGGGGCACACAATGCGGGAGACCCATCACGCCTCATTTCTGCTGAGATCCTCTTGAGGATAGACCTGGTGGGGGGGGAGGAAACGACAGGCAGAGCCTTTGGCCCCAAGGAGGCCACAGTGGGGGGGGGGGTCGTAGGACAGCAGTCCAGTGGGGGGCACAGCCTGGGCAAAGACCCAATGACAGGGACACCATGCCCAGCATGAGGGTGATCGGGGGGCCAGGCTGGGTCCTGCAGGGCCCCGCACGCTCCCCAGGACTCCCAAGCCCAAGGCCACCCGGGTGAGGGAGGAGCCAGGGGCTCTCTGCCGACGAGGTCAACCTGGCCTGTGCTGTGCTTGGATCCTCCCACTCGGGAGCAGGGCAGGACCCCCAGGAGGGCCCCTCCTGCCTGAATCCCACCTAGTGCCCCCTCCAGGCTCCCTGTGCTCCCACCCCCACTGACCCCTCCATTCTTGCAAGACCAGCTCTGGAGACACCCTTGGCTTCCTCCAGGAACTCCTTGGGGGTCCTGCAGACATCCGTATGCACATGTCCCGGGGGCCTCGGGGTCCCTCCCTCCCTGTAGCCCCTGTCACCAGGCCAGACATGGCATGCCCTGCCCCTCCAGCTCTCCCCATCCTGCCCTGCCCCCACCACAGCCCTGCGCCATAGCCCAGAGGGCCCTCAGTCCCTGGGCCCCTGCCAGTGACCGATGCAGCAGAGGCGAGGGCACAGAGGGGTGGCAGAGGGGAGTGCCAGGCCTCGAGGCTACTGGCCCACAGAGCCAGGGAGCCCGGGGCCCTGTCAGAATCCTCCCGGGGGCCCAGCCCCCAGCCCCTGCCCCAGTCCAGACCACCAGGCCCTGGGGAGCCGAGTGGGGCGGTTACGACCTGCCCGCTGGGCCATGCCCACCTTTTTCCTCTGTCTTCCAGGACCCAGTGTGAGGGCCACCCCTGGGTGCCCCCAGCCCTGCCCTGCTCCAACCCCTTGCTCACCCTGTTTGGAGGTCTGCCCTATTGGCCAGGGCTCCCTCAGGGCCTGAGTGTCTGATTCAGACCCCTGCTCTGGGAGCCCAAGCTGGACTAGCCGGGGAGGGCCTAGAATGGTCACAGCCCCAGCTTGCGTGGGTGTCCACAGCCACAGTGTCCCTTTCGCCTGGAGGCCCGGCCGTCCCTCAGCCAGGGGGCCAGGGGTGACCCTGTGCCTGGATTCCCCACAGCAGAGGGCTCCCCCCATGGTGGTGCCGGAAGCAGGCCTGCCAGGAGGTGGGGGGCGTGGGGCCCTCATGCCGAGGGTGCTGGAGGCTGGGACAGGCAGAGGTTGGTGCCAGGATGGGGTGCTGGCCTGCAGCCTCTGGCCAGTGCTGCTGTGGCTGGGTGGCCCCAAGGCGGGCGGGTTGGGCCCCGTGCAGCCACCCGATGCCCACCTGTCCCCCGCAGATACCTGGTGCTAGAACACGTGTCTGGTGGGGAACTCTTCGACTACCTTGTCAAGAAGGGGAGGCTGACCCCCAAAGAGGCCCGGAAGTTCTTCCGGCAGATCATCTCTGCGCTAGACTTTTGCCACAGCCACTCTATATGGTGCGTGCCCCCACCCCCCGCCAGGTGCCCCCCACCCCCCGGCAGGTGCCCCCATCCCCCGGCAGGTGCCCCCATCCCCCGGCAGGTGCCCCCACCCCCAACCAGGTGCCCCCACCACCCACCAGGTGCCCCCATCCCCCACCAGGTGCCCCCCACCCCCCACCAGGTGCCCCGATCCCCCGCAAGGTACCCCCCACCACCCACCAGGTGCCCCCATCCCCCGCCAGGTGCCCCCCACCCCCCGCCAGGTGCTCCCCACCCCCCGCCAGGTACTCTCCCTCCCCCACCAGCTACCCCCCACCCCCCACCAGGTGCCCCCCACCCCCTGCCAGGTGCCCCCATTCCCCCGCCAGGTGCCCCTATCCCCCGCCAGGTGCCCCCCACCCCCCGCCAGGTGCTCCAATCCCCCGCGAGGTACCCCCCACCACCCACCAGGTGCCCCCATTCCCCCGCCAGGTGCCCCCATCCCCCACCAGGTGCCCCACACCCCCCGCCAGGTGCCCCCACCCCCAACCAGGTGCCCCCCACCCCCCGCCAGGTGCCCCCATCCCCCGCCAGGTACCCCACCCCCAACCAGGTGCCCCCCACCCCCCGCCAGGTGCCCCCATCCCCCGCCAGGTGCCCCCACCCCCCGCCAGGTGCCCCAATCCCCCGCGAGGTACCCCCCACCACCCACCAGGTGCCCCCATCCCCCGCCAGGTGCCCCCACCCCCAACCAGGTGCCCCCACCACCCACCAGGTGCCCCCATCCCCCACCAGGTGCCCCAATCCCCCACGAGGTACCCCCCACCACCCACCAGGTGCCCCCATTCCCCCGCCAGGTGCCCCCCACCCCCCGCCAGGTGCCCCCATCCCCTGCGAGGTACCCCCCACCACCCACCAGGTGCCCCCATCCCCCGCCAGGTGCTCCCCATCCCCCACCAGGTGCCCCCATCCCCTGCCAGGTGCCCCCCACCCCCCGCCAGGTACTCTCCCTCCCCCACCAGCTACCCCCCATCCCCCACCAGGTACCCCCCACCAGGTACTCTCTCTCCCCCACCAGGTACCCCCCACCCCCCACCAGGTGCCCCCCACCCCCACGAGGTGCCCCCCACCAGGTACTCTCCCTCCCCCACCAGGTACCCCCCACCCCCTGCCAGGTGCCCCCCACCCCCCATGAGGTACACCCCCGTTCCCCATGAGGCAAAGCCTCATCCCCTGCCAGGTGCCCATTTCCAACCAGGTGCCCCCATCCCCCACCAGGTACTCTCCCTCCCCCACCAGGTACCTCCACACCCCACCATGTGCCCCCATCCCCACCAGGTACCCCCCACCCCCCACCAGGTGCCCCCATCCTCCGCCAGTTACCCTCTCAACCCCCACCAGTTATCCTTCATCCCCTAGCAGGTGCCCCCATCCCCCACCAGGTGCTCCCTACCCCTCGCGAGGTGCCCCCCACCAGGTACTCTCCCTCCCCCACCAGGTACCCCTCACCCCCCGCCAGGTTCCCCCCACCCCCCGTGAGGTACACCCCCGTTCCCCATGAGGCAAAGCCTCATCCCCTGCCAGGTGCCCATTTCCCACCAGGTACTCTCCCTCCCCCACCAGGTACCCCCACCCCCCACCAGGTGCCCCATCCCCCGCCAGGTGCCCCCCACCCCCCGCCAGGTGCCCCCATCCCCCACCAGGTACACCCCACCCCCACCAAGTACCCCCCACCAGGTACTCTCCCTCCCCCGCCAGGTACCCCCCACCCCCCACCAGGTGCCCCCATCCCCCGCCAGGTACACCCCACCCCCACCAGGTGCCCCCCACCCCCCACGAGGTACACCCCCGTTCCCCATGAGGCAAAGCCTCATCCCCTGCCAGGTGCCCATTTCCAACCAGGTGCTCCCATCCCCCGCGAGGTACACCCCCGTTCCCCATGAGGCAAAGCCTCATCCCCTGCCAGGTGCCCATTTCCAACCAGGTGCCCCCATCCCCCGCCAGGTACTCTCCCTCCCCCACCAGGTACTCCCACACCCCACCAGGTGCCCCATCCCCCACCAGGTGCCCCCACCCCCCGCCAGGTGCCCCCATCCCCTGCCAGGTACCCTCTCAACCCCCACCAGTTATCCTTCATCCCCCACCAGGTACCCCCTCCCCCGCGTGGTACACCCCCATTCCCCATGAGGCAAAGCCTCATCCCCTGCCAGGTGCCCATCCCCCACCAGGTACTCCCCACCCCCCACCAGGTGCCCCCATCCCCACCAGGTACCCCCCACCCCCACCAGGTAACCTCCCACCCCCCACCAGGTACCCCCACCAGGTACTCCCCATCCCCACCAGGTACCCCCAACCCCCACCAGGTGCCCCCATCCCCACCAGGTACCCCCCACCCCCACCAGGTAACCTCCCACCCCCCACCAGGTACCCCCACCAGGTACTCCTCATCCCCCACCAGGTACCCCCCCACCCCCACCAGGTAACCTCCCACCCCCCACCAGGTACCCCCACCAGGTACTCTCCCTCCCCCACCAGGTACCCCCCATTCCCCACCAGGTGCCCCCTACCCTCCACCAGGTACCCCCACCAGGTACTCTCCATCCCGCACCAGGTACCCCCATTCCCCACCAGGTGCCCGCCACCCCCCACCAGGTACCCTCCCATTCCCCACCAGGTGTCCCCCATCCCCACCAGGTACCCCCACACCCCACCAGGTGCCCCCATCCCCACCAGGTACCCCCCACCCCCACCAGGTAACCTCCCACCCCCCACCAGGTACCCCCACCAGGTGCCCCCCACCCCTACCAGGTACCCTCTCAACCCCTACCAGTTATCCTTCATCCCCCACCAGGTACTCCCCATCCCCCACCAGGTACCCTCCATCCCCACCAGGTACCTCTCACCCCCACTGGGTACCCTCCATCCCCCACCAGGTACTCCCTATCCCCCACCAGGTAACCCCCCATGCTCCACCAGGTACCCTCCACCCCCCACCAGGTACCCCCTGCACCAGGTACCCCTCACCCCCCACCAGGTACTCTCCACCCCCCACCAGGTACCCCCCACCAGGTACCCTCCACCCCCTACCAGGTACCCCCCAGCACCAGGTACCCCTCACCCCCCACCAGGTACTCTCCACCCCCCACCAGGTACCCTCCACCAGGTACCCTCCACCCCCTACCAGGTACCCCCCAGCACCAGGTACCCCTCACCACCCACCAGCTACCCCCAGACCAGGTATCTCCACCCCACCCTTGCACTCCCTCTGTGCCCCTGGAACAGACAGCACACTTTCTATTGACGCCCCCCCCCCCTTTAGGAGCATCAGGAAGCTACTGCCAGGTGTCCACCCCAGATTCCAGAAGCCCCCTCCTCAGGTTTCTCAGGGGTCCTGGGGCCAGGTCACCCTGGATTGGGGGTCCCAGGTTGGCCTCGGCCCAGAGCACGTACGGGGGGGCCCCAGGGAGTAAAGCAAAGCCTGCCTCGGGGGCGGGTGGGAGCAGGTGGTGTGACCCCAGAGGGTCTCTGTTTCTCTGTCCCCTGAGACCACAGCCGCCAGGCAGGGGACTTCCCATTGGCTGCCTGTGATATCACCAGGCTGGGCTGCCATTGGCCCCATGCTGTGCAGATAGGCTTTTGGGGAGGGGAGGCAGCTAGGGGGACTGGTCAGCCTCAATCCCACCTTCCTTCCCAGCCACAGGGATCTGAAGCCAGAGAACCTCCTACTAGATGAGAAAAACAACATCCGGATCGCCGACTTCGGCATGGCGTCGCTGCAGGTTGGCGACAGTCTGCTGGAGACCAGCTGCGGGTGAGCGGCCCTGGCAGGCCGGGAGACGGCCCGGCCCCGGTCCCCGAAGGCCCCCGCCCCGCCCCGCCCCGGCCATGCCGCCGGTGGTCTCAGCTGCTCAGCGGTGGGGGACCTGGAGCCCCAGGAGCCCAGGACCTTCACTCTGCCCTCAGATTTTGCTGCCAAGTGTGACGCTGTGGAGGGACCCTTCCCGTGACCATTCAGCCCGGGCCTGTGCTCGGCTCCACGGCCCTGGAAGGCGGGTCCGGTCCCAGTGGCTGCCCGCTTGCTGGGCGGGCACTCAGCCCCATGGTCCTTCGGGGACGTTACTCCCCTTGGAGCAGGGCGGCAGGCAGACAGCCTCGAGCGTGGCGGAGCCCACAGGCTCCTGTGTCTCGGCCTCCCCCAGAAGCACACAGTCGGGATTGGGTTGGGAGGGGGTGGCACGAAAGCCCCTTGAGCCTCCTGGTGGGCCTGGGGGCCCCCCAGAGGGGCGTTCTCCTGCAGGCAGAGCATGCCTCCGGACATCCGCACTGCTGTGGTCCTGGGGGGCAGCCCCGAGTGCAGGCGGGGTGGGGTGGCCAGGGCAGACAGCAGGTCCCGAACCCCGTGCCTGACTGTTGCTTTTGCCCCCAGATCGCCCCACTACGCCTGCCCCGAGGTGATCCGGGTAAGTAGCCCCCCCGCCGCCCTTGTCGCCCCCTGTCCAGGGGGCTTTGCCACCCGAGCCTTGCAGACCCCGGGCCCTGGCCGACTGCCCCCTGCACCCTGTGCCCGGGCCCCACCATTTCTGCGGAGCCCGGCCGTTCACCCCGCCTACCCCACTGCCGCCCGCAGGGGGAGAAGTATGACGGCCGCAAGGCGGACGTGTGGAGCTGCGGCGTGATCCTGTTCGCCCTGCTGGTGGTGAGGCCCCCTCCCCTCCCCCGCGGCGCTGCCCCTGTGCGCCCCTCCCCAGGTGACCCCAGTCCCCTGCCGGCAGGGGGCTCTGCCCTTCGATGACGACAACCTGCGGCAGCTGCTGGAGAAGGTGAAGCGGGGCGTGTTCCACATGCCACACTTCATCCCGCCCGACTGCCAGAGCCTGTTGCGGGGCATGATCGAGGTGGACGCGGCCCGGCGCCTCACGGTGGGTCCCGGGCGTCCCGGAGGGGTTGGGGGGCCTCCTTCTCTCCCTTACGCCGCCCCCCCAGAGCCTGCAAGGTCCCATCTCCGGCGTCTCCTCCCGGGCCAAGGGATGGCGCCTGCAGGGTAACCCCACCTGGGCCTGTGAGTGTGGTATGGGGGGCCCTGGGTGTGCACGGTGCGTGTGAGCACGTGGGTGAGGAAGCGCCGTGTGTGTGCGTGGCTGTCTGCGGGCACGAGTGTGGATGCGTGGTTTGGGAGTGCTGGTGTGCCCGGCAGGGGAGTCCCCACTGATGCTGACCCCTGAGTCCTGGGCTTTCCAGGGCCTGGTCCGTGTGAATAGCTCCCCACGACCACTGCTGATGCCTGGGGGCCAGGGAAGGTCCGAGGGCAGCTCTTCCTTCCGAAAGACGCCCCCAGCTGGCCACCTCCGGCCTCCCTGGGGTTCAGCTAGTGCCGGGAGGGCGGGTCCCCAGAGCAGGGGCAGCAGGACTCCCCGGGCTGGCCTGCCCAGGACAGGGGCGGCCCAGCGCCCAAGAGGCCACCCTCGCCCACCCTCCCCAGCCAAGCTGTCCCGAGTGGAGTTGGGGGGAGAGCAGGGCTGGCTCCCAAGCCTCCTGCTCACACCTGCACCCAGCCCCTTCCTGTGCGCAGGAGGGCCACCCTGGCCGCTTCCCCTGCCCTCCTCCCTTGGCCTCCTTCCTGGAGCCTGAGACCCCAGAGGTCACCTTGCTTCCGTGCTCCCTCCCTCTGCCGCCCAGGTCCCCCAGCCCTGCCGGCAGCCCCCCGGCCCTGCCCACCTTCCTTCTCTCTCTAGGTCAGCATTTTCTCTTCGACCTGGGGTAGGCAGGGCCAAGGGTGCTACCTGGAGCCTCCGGGAACGCAGCCCCTCCCCACACGTTCCCCACCCTCCACCCACATTGTCCCCCATGTTCTCTCTCCCTCTCTCCTCCCCTCCCCACCCCCTCACCAGCCCCCTCCCCCCCACTCCTCCTGTCACGCTGTCTGCACACTCCTGTGCTCTGTCCCTCCCCATGCTCCCGCCGCTGGCCTCCTAACGCGGGCTCCTCCATCCCTCCTCGTACTAACTCCCTGTTTCTCTTTCCTTGTAGCTAGAGCACATTCAGAAACACATATGGTATATGTAAGTAGCTCTTCCTCCCACATCGCCTGCTTTGCCTGCCACCTGTCACCGTGGCCTGGAGGGCCTGCTAGGGAAGGCGGGGGGTGACCCAGCCCAGGGCAGGCCTGCCCCCAGCCTCAGCCGCTCCTGGCTCTCAAGGCCCCCGGGGCGGGCCTGTGCTGGGCTCAGGCAGCACGCAGGAGGCGTGCAGGGGCTGGGCGCACAGAGAGCAGCAAGACTCAGGGCCCCAGGAAGGGGTGGGCCCCGCCCTCCCGGCACCTCGGGGTGGGGGGCGGAGGAGCCCCAGGCTGCGGAGGGCAAGGGAGTGACCCTGGGTGCCTGTCGTCCACAGAGGGGGCAAGAACGAGCCAGAGCCAGAGCAGCCCATCCCCCGCAAGGTGCAGATCCGCTCGCTGCCCAGCCTGGAGGACATCGACCCCGACGTGCTGGACAGCATGCACTCTCTGGGCTGCTTCCGGGACCGCAACAAGCTGCTGCAGGACCTGCTGTCCGAGGAGTACGTTGGCGGGGGGCTGCGGCGCAGCCTGGCCGGGGGCCCCAGCGGCCCCTCCCAGGCAGGCGGCCATGGGGTGGGACCCCATCCAGGAACAGACTTGCCAACCCTTCTTGGTGCCTCTCACCCACTGCAGGGAAAACCAGGAGAAGATGATTTATTTCCTTCTCCTGGACCGGAAAGAAAGGTACCCGAGCCATGAGGACGAGGACCTGCCCCCCAGAAATGAAATAGGTATAAGGTGGCAGGGTGGCCTGGCCCCATGCTGCCCCTCCCAGGCCCAGCGGGCTGCCTTGCCCTGACCCCTGTCTGCACACAGACCCTCCCCGGAAGCGTGTGGACTCCCCAATGCTGAACCGGCACGGCAAGCGGCGGCCTGAACGCAAGTCCATGGAGGTGCTCAGCGTGACGGACGGCGGCTCCCCGGTGCCCGCGCGCCGGGCCATCGAGATGGCCCAGCATGGCCAGAGGTGCGTGCCTTCCAGGAGGACCCAACGCTCTGCCTCCTGGTGGCCTGGCCTGGTCGGCGTTGGCACTGCTCACGGGCTGTGCTGGGCCTGGTATGGCTCATCTCTGCCTCCCGGCCCTGGGGCTGGGCCAAGGCCACTGGGTGGGCCTGGACCACGCTGTGCTAGGGGCTGGGCCAGGCTGTTCAGGCTGCTTGTGCTGGACTGGACTAAGCTGAACTTGGCTGGGCTGAGTGAGCTGAGCTGGGCTGGGCTGGACTGGACTGAGCTGGGCTGGGTTAGACTGACCTGGTCTGGGGTGGACTGAGCTGGGCTGAGCTGGACTGCACTGAGCTGGACTGGGCTGGATTAGACTGAGCTGGACCAGGGTGGACTGAGCTGGGCTGGGCTGGGCTGGACTGGGGTGGGCTAGACTGAACTGGGCTAGGCTAGACTGGGCCGGACTGGGGTGGACTGACTTGGGCTGGACTGGACTATGCTGGGCTGAGCTGGGTTGTACTGTGCTGAGCTGGACTGAGCTGGGCTGAGCTGGGCTGAGCTGGGCTGGACTAGACTAGATTGAGCAGGGCTGGGCTGGGCTGAACCGGACTGGGATGGACTGAGCTGGGCTGGGCTGGACTGAGCTGGAATGGACTGAACTGGACTGGGCTGGACTGGGCTGAACTGGGCTAGACTGAGCAGAGCTGGGCTGAGCTGGGTGGGTTATACTGAGCTGAGTTGGGCTGGACAGGACTAGCCTAGAGTGGGCGGGACTGGGTTGGACTGAGCTGGGCTAGACTGGGCTGGGCTGGGCTGGATCGGGGTGGACTGGGTTGGCCTCGACTGAGCTGGGCTGAACTGGACTGAGCAGGATTGGACTAGACTGGACTTGACTGAGCTGGACTGAGCTGAACTAGGCTGGACTGGACTGAGCTGGGCTGGACTGGGGTGGACTGGGCTTTGCTCTGTTGGCCTGGGTTGTACTGGGCTGGTCAGCCATCTGGAACAGGGTTGGGCTGAACTGGAGTGGACTGGACTTGGCTACACTGGGGTCAGGCCATGTGCAGAGCCGCCCAGCAGGCCTGTCCCCGCTTGATGTTGGCCCCATGTTTGGGTCATCTGTGGTAGTGTGGGGGTCAAGGACAAGGATGGAATTCTGCCTGGTCACAAGCAGGTCCGGGCTGTCCCAACAGCGCTCCCTGGAGGAAGGAAGGGTGTCCTGGTCCTGCAGAGCCTCAGCTCTGGCTGGCAAGGAGGGGCCCTTGGCCAGTCCTCATCCTGGCGCTGGGCAGGGCCTGCTTGGGGAGGGGATTTTTGCTATAGCTCTTGGACCTGGAGACCCAGCTCTGGGGGTCCCGGCTCTGGGGCTGCCCCTGGTCAGCTGGGGGCTGAGTGCTGGGGATAGCCGGGCCTCTCAAGGTATTTGCCAGGAAACAGGGCCACCATCAGGATTAAACTGGGCTGGTGGTCCTCAGCTCCCTTGGTGGTCCCAGGCCTCCCCCATGGAAACGGGCTGGCTCTAGACCGCCACGGGCCGCTGCCCATGGGCTCCGGCACCGGGGGGCTGGTGAGGGTGGCGGGAGAAAGGTCTCTGCTGGCTGAGCTCCTGCCCTGTGCCTCGCGTCCTGCTTGTTATGGGCACCCCTCTCCCCAGCAGGCCCCCAGGGTGAGAGGCCACCTCTCTCCAGCCCACCTTTCCTGAGCCTTGCCCCTGCTCAGTGCAGGCTGAGTGCTGATGTGGGGCCCACCACATCCTGGCCACCCCGCGTCCCTCCCTCACCCGCCTGGAGCAGGGGCTGGGCATGAGAGGCCACAGAGCCCAGTGTCCCGCTCTGCCTTCCAGGCCTGGCTGCCTCAGGGTGGGAGGAGCTGGGACCGGGTCAGCTGTGGACCGTCCCGGCGGCCCCTGGAGCGTCCCTTCCTCCCGACACCGCCCGACCTGCCGCTGCCGCTCCAGGCCCCGCTGCTTTTTCTGGCTTGGGCCACCGGCTGGGGCTGCAGGGGTCCTAGGGCTGGTGGTGGGTACTGGACATCCTCCATCCAAGGCCTGCCCCCTCCCCGCCCAGCAGGTCACCAGGGTGGGGTGCGCTGTGGCCCTGGCACTCTCCTGCCTGACCTCCCTCATGCCCGTGTGCCTGGCCTGGGGCCAGGTGGGCCATGCCCAGCTTGTGTGGAGCTGTGCGGAGGTCCAGCCTCCCGGGCCGCCTGGTGGGGCTGCGTCAGTAACTCTGTTTTCTCGCTTTGTTCCTGCTGTAGTAAAGCAATGTTCAGTAAAAGCCTGGATATCGCTGAAGCCCACCCCCAATTCAGCAAAGAAGACAGGTATACACCCTGCCCACCCATCCCCCGCCCCCCAGCCCCAAGGACGACGGTGGGCCTGGTGGCAGGGCTGGGCCTGAGGCGCTTCCAGCCCTCGCAGCTCTGGCGAGGGAGACCTCCACAGGCTGGGGAAGGGCCTGGGCCAGGCGGGCCTGAGGCCCCGAGGAGGCGTGGGCTGCCGGGGCAAGGCCAGTGGCCGGCCTGACCAGGCGGGGAGACCCACCGCGCTCTCCACTGCAGACCCCCGAGCGTCTGCAGGCTGTGAGGCCTCAGTGGAAGCGGCAGCCCAGGGCGGTGGCAGGCTCCCCAGGACGTGGCAGGAGGCATGACTGTCTCAGGGGTCTCTGCATGGGGCCCGGCGTTCCTGAGGCCCCCAGCCCTGCCCCTGCAGGGCCTGCTGCCCGTGGGCGACGGCGGTCGGGCCTCACCCGTTTCCCCCCCGCCTGCTCCCGTACCTGCCCGTGCCCCTGCCTGCTCACTGCTGGCCTCCTGCCGCCCCCCCCCCGTCGCCCCGCCCTGGCTGCTCTGCCTGCTGGCCCCCTCCTTTCTGTCTCAGGCAGGTGCGGCCTGGTTAGGACGCTGTGGAGGCAGCCCCCACCCCTCTTCCTTCCACTGCTTCTTTTCTGGTTTCCTTGTGCCAAGTGACGAGCGCATGGCTGGCTCAGTGGTAGGCAGGCCCCAGGCGCTGGGCCTCACTCTTGGCTGCTGCCCGGCCGGCCTGTGGCTGCTGGGGTGGGCACCAGCCGGGACCGACGGCCCCCACTCCCTTCCCAGCATCTGAAAGCTTTGGACCCAGGCCTGGCTCTGGGCACTGTCCCGGCCGCGGGCAGGCTGGGTTGGGGGGCCAGGAACAAGGTCAGCGCCGCCCCCTGGCTCCGTGGCTTGTGTTAGGTGGAGACGCTGGAGGGTCACTGCCATGGGGCCCTAGCCCACAGATGCCGGGGCCCTGGTCAGAGTGGGCTCAGCTCCTCCCTGAGGCCCAGGGGCTGGGCCGGGGTGTGAGTGGGTGGGCGAGAGCCCTCTCGGGGCCGGGCTGACTGGTGTGGGCAGGCCTTCACTCTTTTCCTCTTCTCTCCTGTGGCTGCCTCGGCCCCCCTCCCTGCTTCCTGCCTCGAAGGGTGGCAGGTGCCAGCACCCAGGGTTGAGCAAGCATGGTGTGTGCCTTCCCTGAGGCCGTGTGGTGTGGTGGAGTGAGGCCCCTGCCTCGCAGGGCGCCCGGTTCCTGCCCCGCCAGGTCTGCGGGCCCAGTGGGGCCGGTGGTGGACAAGGCTGGTGGTCCCAGCCAGCGCTCACCCCAGCCTGGCCTTGCCTAGGCCCCCGTGGTACCAGTGAGGAGAGAGCTATGGGCTGGCGTGCTGTGGGCACCTTTGGGCCGGGCAGGTGGGCCATGGGCATGGCAGGGCTGGGCTGGTGCCCACTTGGTGGCCCACGTGCTAGGATGGGAGGCTGTCCGCCGAGCACAGGACTCGGGGCCTGTGACAGTTCAGCCTTGGGGGTTCTGGGTGGGCTCGGGCACTGGGGGCTGGACAGTGGACCTGACCCGGGGGCTGGATGCAGCTCCCAGGAAGCGCCCGTCTCCCCTCGTCCCTCTGTCCGCCCAAGCCCCTGACAGACCCTTGCTGAAGGCTCCCGGTGCCGTCCTGGGCCTGGGCCTCGGCCATGGGACAGCTCCCACGTAGAGGAGAGGAGCCCGGAGACAGGCTCTGACGGGGCCCCCTGAAGGGGCTGTGGGGCCCTCCTGGGCCCCGGGAGAGGCGGGGTGGGGACAGCAGGACAGCCCTGCATGTGGCCAGGTGTGCGCAGGACAGGGCGACCTCAAGGCTCTCGGCCGGGACTCGCGGCCTCTTGGAGGGTCCGTCCGGGGGAGAGAAGCTGAGAGCCGTGGCCCCTCCCGGCTGACCCGCCCCGCACCTGTGTCCGCAGGTCCAGGTCCATCAGCGGCGCCTCCTCGGGCCTGTCCACCAGCCCGCTGAGCAGCCCCAGGGTGAGCCCCCGCCCCGCCCCGCCCCCCAGCTCCAAGAGGCCCAGCGTGCACCGATGGGGGTGGGCAGGGGAGGCTCCCTGAGCCCGGGCTGGGCCCGCGCCCCCCGCCTGCTGCTGGGGCTAACTGCACGTTCTTTTGTTTTGTTTGTTTTCTCCTGTGTTATTTGTTTTCTTTTATGGCAAACGCTCCCACCCCCACACCTGCCTGTCCCGCTGGTCCTGCCCTGGGGTCCTGCTTGAACGTTTCTGGTCCTCCTGGTGCTGTGTGTGCATGCGGGGGGCGGCGGGCGGGCACGCGCATGGTGGCTCTCGCGGACCCTCGTGCCCTGCTCCCTGCCCTCTGCGCCTGCCCTGTAGCCTGTTAGAAAGTTTGCCCTGCCCCCCCCGCCTCCCGAGAGCCCCTCTGTGGCCTGTCCCCTGGCCACCTCCGTGGAGCCTGAAGCTTGTCGGAGCGCCTCCGGGCCCGGACACGTCCTCCCTCCACAGGCCGCCTTGCGGCCCAACCCCAAGACCCAGACCTTGCCGAGCAAGGCCAAGCTGAGCGACAAGCCGCTGCAGGGCACCAAGTCCAACCCACTCCCGGCTGGCACCCAGGCCCGACCCCCTGTCCCGGGGGGCCTAGGCCCCCAGCTGGCCCTGCCCCCGGGCCCGCCGACCATGCCGGCTCCCATCCAGCTCCCGACCACCGGGACTGAACCCAACACCAAATCTGTCCCCACCATACAGGTGACCCCTCACCCCTCTCCAAGGGGTAGTCCCCTCCCCACCCCTAAGGGGACGCCCGTGCACACGCCCAAGGAGAGCCCGGCAGGCACGCCCAACCCCACGCCACCGTCCAGCCCCAGCGTCGGAGGGGTGCCCTGGAGGACGCGGCTCAACTCCATCAAGAACAGTTTCCTGGGGTCACCCCGCTTCCACCGCCGGAAACTGCAGGGTCAGTGGCGGGAAGAGGGGCCGCGGGGGTGGCAGGGCCTGCCCCCTCTGCACAGCGCTGTGCCGGGACCCCGACCACGAGCAGGGAAGCGGTCGGTGTCCTCCAGGCTGGCACAGGCCCAGGCGGTGCCGCCAGACGGCTGCTTGCTCCCGGGCCTGCCCGCTGTGTGCCGGGGGCCCCTCGCAGCTCCTGGGCTTCCCTTCAGCCCAGTGGCCACTTGAAGCTGGGCTGCTTGAGCCCTGGGAGGACAGCCGGCCGCCGGGTGGGTGGGGGCGAGGGCCGTCAGCAAGCCCGTGGGATGGGGCAGCGGTGGGCAGCCCATTGCTGTGCGCTGGGTGCCGAGGGTCAGTGGGCGCTGCCGGGCCATCCGATGGGTGGGCCTGGGTGACCAGTGCCATCTGTCGGGGGGACAGCGGGGCCGGCTGTAGGCCAGAGAAGGTCTGGCCTGATTACAGCACCAGAGGCTGGGGCAGCCCCGTGGCCCTAGGCTCCGGCAGGGGCCGGGAGCCTGTGGGGTGGCTGAGACCCCGGTCACGGTGAGGGGCGCGGGGGACCCTGGTGAGGCCAGGGCAGAGTGGTCACACCTTCTCTCCCTGTCTTTCCCGTGTGTGCGCAGTTCCAACACCCGAAGAGATGTCCAACCTGACCCCGGAGTCCTCTCCAGAGTAAGTGGTCACTGCCCGAGGTCGAGGGTGAGCCACTGGCCTCCCTCCCGGTGCCCAGACGCCAAGTGCGTAGGGGGGGCCCGTGCTGGACCCTCCCTCATGGCAGGCCAGGGGGCCCATGAGGGCTTTGGGGCGAAGCACCCCAGCCCCTCCAGGTCCTCTTCTCCCTCTTCCTGGGACCCTGTGCTTGCCCAGAAGCCCCCCGCCAGCCCCTGCCTGGGACACCCCCTCTTCAACAACCACACCTCTGTGTCCGGCACTTTGAACGCCAGGCTGGGGAGCAGGGTCTGCGCTGCTGAGGGAGCCGGCCAGCTCCTCCTGGCCCTGCGCCGAAGCCACAGCCTGGGGCTGGCTGGAGGCAAGGGACGGCACAGCCATGCCTCGGGGGGCGGAGGGGCGCCAGCTGAAAGCCCCAGCCTCCACGCGGGGCGAGGCTTGCAGACCGGAGCCCAAGCCCTCCTGGCAGGTGTGCTCACCCTGCTCTGGGCACAGGCTCAGCCCCGCACACGCCCGGTCCGGGGAGCCCGAGAAGGACCAGCCTGGTGTTTGCAGCGGGTAGCCTCCGCCAGGGAGGGCTGCGCTGGGCAGAGTGGAGCCTGGAGCACAGGCGGAGACCTGGGGGCTCGTAGGGATGGAGCGCCTCAAGGCGGAAACATGGTGCTGGCCAGAGACGGAGGGACAGCCACGGGACGGCCTGGTGGGGACGCGCGTCCAGGGGAGGGTGGTGGTGGTCGAGGCCAGGAGCAGAGCAAGCCCTCAGCTGACCCTCGCCAAGAGGAAGGAGCAGGGCCCGTGGGGGCGATGGGCAGCAGATGCGCGGCTCACCCGCGGCCAGTCTGGACTGGGGCGGAGCCCCGGAGCGGCCCTGGCGGCGGCCTCGGCCTCGGCCTGCAGCCCTGGAGGGCGCCGCGTGGACAGGAGTGGCGCCGTGGGTGCGCGGCGGGCCTCGCGAGGAGCACAGGCGCCGAGCGGGAGGTGCCCGGCGCGGCGCGCGGCCCGTCCCACCGCTAGTGCCCCGCGGCCGGAACTTCCGCTGCTGTCACCGGCCCACAGACACCCCTGTAGCGGCGCCGCGGGCGCCCGGGCAGGTGCAGGTGGCCGCAGCCTCCCAGCCTCGAGTCCGCCTGGAGGCCCCGCCCCTCCCGGGGCCTGGCCGGCGCGCCCGAGCAGACGCGCGGGGGCCCGGGGGCCGCAGCCGCTCTCGCCCCGGCCCCGCCCCCTGCGGAGGACGCGCCCAGCCGCGGCGCGCCGGGCTCGGAGGGAAGCACCGCTGCGGGTTCGGGGCGGATGGCAGGTCGGGGGCCGTAGGTTCGGCAGGCGGAGGCGCAGTCTGCGTGACGTCACAGCCCTGGGTGACGTGTGCGGGTGGGGAACTCACGCTGCGGAGTTGAGTTGAGCCGAACTCCTTGCGGAAGCGGCAGCCTTTGTTCCGCGGCCTTCGCCTGCTTGGACGAGGCCCACCACACGAGGGCGCGGGGTCGGCTCTACTCGGAGACGCCCGGCGGCTGCCGGGTGGCCCAGCTGACACTGAAGTCGGCCGGCGCTGCCTCTCCGGCTCCTTCAGGCTTCTTCCAGGCACGGGACCGCCTATTACGCCAGATGCCAAACTGCTGGCTGCAAACTACAAACAAGTCATGTTTTCGGTGTTCTTCGTCAAGGGAGGAGAAGCAGAAACTCCTCATGCGGGTTCCAGAACTGCCCCCCCTAAGTACTTGCTGGGCTGCCGGCCCTGTGGCAGGTGCAGGGGCACGGCAGGGAGCGGCTGGGGCCGGAGCGTGCCCTCGAGAGCGCCGGACCCAGAGCGGACAGCGGGCAGGAGGGCAGGATGTGGGGAAGGAGGCGGAAGTGGCCGGTGACCAGGGGGTCCGGCAGGACGTGCCTCCCTGTCTTCACCTCTGCGCTGTTGTTGGGTCAGGATCCCTGGGCCGAGCAGAGGCCAGCTCTGGAACTGGGCAGGAAAGGGGAAGCCACGTGGTCAGGAAAACCACCGAGAGGTGCCCGAGCACCCGCCCCTGCCAGCGCCGGTGGCGGAGCAAGATGCTGGGCCGGGGCCCTCCTGGGCCTCGCCGTCCGAATGGGCGCGTTCCATCGGCGGAGCCACGAGACGGCTGTCAGGACGCGTCAGCGCTGCAGCCTGGCGGACTGTTCGAGCTCAGCGCCTTAAACACCACGCGCTCCAGGTCTCGGGCTGTGTGGGTCAGGCCCCTGGCCGGGCCGGCTGGGCCCTCCGCTTTCCGGAGTCAGTGGGCTGTGGTCACCTCCAGGCAGGCTCAGCTGGGGCAGCACCCGTGGCCCAGCGCCCTCGGTCGTCGGTGGGATTCAGGGCCTGTGGTCCGCTGGACCGCGGGCCTCTCCGTCACGTCAGGGGGCTCGGTCGCCATGCAGTCCAGACCTGCTAGCAAGCAGGAGACGTGGCCTTGAGTCACGTGTTCTTGGAGGGGACATCTGTCACTCATTCTGCTTAGAAGCAAGTCCTGGCCCCGTCCGTGCCCCAGGAGGCAGGATCTTGGGGCCAGCCGAGGGACACCCACGCTGGTGTGCACCGCGGTGGGGGGGGCTGCAGACAGCGCAGGTCAGATGCAGGTGCAGGACGGAATAACGAGGCCAGACAGAAGACAGAGAACAGAGAGAGGCCCTGGGCACGAGTGAGGTGAGGGGCCTCGTGCAGGAGGATACACCCCTGCCCCACCTGGCACAGCACCTGGCTTGGAAGCAGCCTCCATGTCCCAGAGCGGCCCGGGCTGGGTGGCCCCTGGTCCTCGAGGACAGGGTGGCCGGGGGGAGCCGGGCTGTCCCACCAGGTGGGAAGGGCATGTAGCATCCTGGGCCCCCAGGCCCCATTGTCCATGCAGTGTGTCTCCCGTCCATTTGTCCACATGGGCGCAGAGTTCCCCGACCAGGCCCGACCCTGTACCGCGGCCTCCCACACTGCCCCTGCTCCCCATGCAGCCCCGGGGTAGGGGGCACCTTCCTCCAGGCTGCAGCAGGATTGCTGCAAATTCCCGCAAAACTTGGTGGCTTAAACAGGAGTAAGGCTGGGGGTCAGGGTGAGCTCTCCTTTCCTTTTTGGTGGGTTCTGGTGGGCACTGCCCAGACCCAGGCAGGCATGGGGGAATGGGGCCTGGCCAAGACTGTGGGATTAGCATTAGGGCCCTGGGGTGAGGGTGGGAGGAGTCGGGGGTGGGAGGGGAGGAGTTGGGGCAGCAAGCTGGCCCTGGCCAGGAGGGGAGGGCGGGCCTGTCCTCAGAGGCTGGGCTGACGGTGAGCATACCCTGACACGAGCAGCCCTCTGCCCGCACTTCCCTCCCCCAGGCTTGCCAAGAAGTCGTGGTTTGGGAACTTCATCAACCTGGAGAAGGAGGAGCAGATCTTCGTGGTCATCAAGGACAAGCCCCTGAGCTCTATCAAAGCTGACATCGTTCACGCCTTCCTGTCGGTGAGCCTCCCACCCGTCTGGGGACGCCTGCCTGGCTGGAACCAGAGGGTCACTGCTCGGGCCCCTGGCCTGGGGGGGGAGGCGGGCCCTCGTTCTCAGCAGCCCTGGCGGTGGGAGCGCCACCGAGACAGGGAGTAAAGCACAGGAAGCTCACAGGGGAGGGGACCTCTGCCGGGTCCTGTCCCAAGAGGCCTGTCTCCGTTCCCCGTGTGCGCTCCCCCCACCCCCCGGCTGCCGCCTCCTGGAGCCCCTGCCTCCCGCTGGGGCCTGGCGGCTCCCTGAGGGTGGGCCGCACTCAAGCCTTGGGTGCGCTCCGTTTGTCTTTGGGAGCTCTTTGAGCACGTGGAGCAGAAAGCCCTGCAGGTGTGCCTCCAGAGTCCCGTCAGGGGGCCTGGCCCGGGGCTGGGTCCCCGGGGATCCTAGCACATCCCCTGCAGCTGAAGCTGCCCCACCCCCATCAGGGCTGGGACCTGCCGCGGGGCTTTCTTCAGCCTGGTGCGGCCTCAGCCCAAGTTCCCCAAGGGCGGGGGGCCACCTGCCAGGGCAGCCTGCTCTCCTCCTTGGGGCCCCTGGTCCGGGCCTCCCTCTCCCTGCACCCTGCAAGGTCCTCCGCTGCCCAGCCTCCCAGCATGGGCTGGGCCTTCCGACCTCTCCTGAGCCGCAGAGCCCTGTCCTAGGGGTGACTCCTCCAGGGCAAGACTGCCTCCTGACTTCGTTTCAAGGGCATTTCCCTTTGCTGCCCGTATGTCAAGTGCGTAGGGGCCCCTCTGCCCGCACTGGGAGCAGCGCCCTTCCCGAGCCCACAGAGCGGCAGGGTGTTGTCCTCGGCAATGGCCGTGTGGCCCCAGCCTCTGGAGGCTGTCACGCGGGTGCCGGCAGCGGCTGCACGGGGCCTCCTCGTGCCTGTCTGCCCGACCCTCTCCTCTTCCACTCTGCGCCCACGTCCCAACCCACACGCAGGCAGAGGGGGACAGGCTTCCGGCCCGGCTCGCGGCGGCGGGCCTGGGGGTGCGAGGGGGGCCGCGCAGGGCGGCTGGCGCACAGCACACTCATGCTGCCCCGCCACCCCGCAGATCCCCAGCCTCGGCCACAGCGTCATCTCCCAGACGAGCTTCCGGGCTGAGTATAAGGCGACGGGCGGCCCGGCGGTGTTCCAGAAGCCGGTCAAGTTCCAGGTGGACATCACCTACACCGAGGGCGGGGCGGCGCAGAAGGAGAACGGCATCTACTCGGTCACGTTCACGCTGCTGTCCGGTGAGCCACGGGCCCAGGTTGCGGGCCCCGGGCTCCGGCCCTGACCCCGACCCGGGCGCGGCCCCCCGTCCCCCCAGGCCCCAGCCGCCGCTTCCCAGGTTGCGGGCCCCGGGCTCCGGCCCTGACCCCGACCCGGGCGCGGCCCCCCGTCCCCCCAGGCCCCAGCCGCCGCTTCCCAGGTTGCGGGCTCCGGCCCTGACCCTGACCCGGGCGCGGCCCCCCGTCCCCCCAGGCCCCAGCCGCCGCTTCCCAGGTTGCGGGCCCCGGGCTCCGGCCCTGACCCTGACCCGGGCGCGGCCCCCCGTCCCCCCAGGCCCCAGCCGCCGCTTCCCAGGTTGCGGGCTCCGGCCCTGACCCCGACCCGGGCGCGGCCCCCCGTCCCCCCAGGCCCCAGCCGCCGCTTCCCAGGTTGCGGGCCCCGGGCTCCGGCCCTGACCCCGACCCGGGCGCGGCCCCCCGTCCCCCCAGGCCCCAGCCGCCGCTTCCCAGGTTGCGGGCCCCGGGCTCCGGCCCTGACCCCGACCCGGGCGCGGCCCCCCGTCCCCCCAGGCCCCAGCCGCCGCTTCCCAGGTTGCGGGCTCCGGCCCTGACCCTGACCCGGGCGCGGCCCCCCGTCCCCCCAGGCCCCAGCCGCCGCTTCCCAGGTTGCGGGCCCCGGGCTCCGGCCCTGACCCTGACCCGGGCGCGGCCCCCCGTCCCCCCAGGCCCCAGCCGCCGCTTCCCAGGTTGCGGGCTCCGGCCCTGACCCCGACCCGGGCGCGGCCCCCCGTCCCCCCAGGCCCCAGCCGCCGCTTCCCAGGTTGCGGGCCCCGGGCTCCGGCCCTGACCCCGACCCGGGCGCGGCCCCCCGTCCCCCCAGGCCCCAGCCGCCGCTTCCCAGGTTGCGGGCCCCGGGCTCCGGCCCTGACCCCGACCCGGGCGCGGCCCCCCGTCCCCCCAGGCCCCAGCCGCCGCTTCCCAGGTTGCGGGCCCCGGGCTCCGGCCCTGACCCCGACCCGGGCGCGGCCCCCCGTCCCCCCAGGCCCCAGCCGCCGCTTCCCAGGTTGCGGGCCCCGGGCTCCGGCCCTGACCCCGACCCGGGCGCGGCCCCCCGTCCCCCCAGGCCCCAGCCGCCGCTTCCCAGGTTGCGGGCCCCGGGCTCCGGCCCTGACCCCGACCCGGGCGCGGCCCCCCGTCCCCCCAGGCCCCAGCCGCCGCTTCCCAGGTTGCGGGCCCCGGGCTCCGGCCCTGACCCCGACCCGGGCGCGGCCCCCCGTCCCCCCAGGCCCCAGCCGCCGCTTCCCAGGTTGCGGGCCCCGGGCTCCGGCCCTGACCCTGACCCGGGCGTGGCCCCCCCGTCCCCCCAGGCCCCAGCCGCCGCTTCAAGAGGGTGGTGGAGACCATTCAGACGCAGCTCCTGAGCACACACGACCAGCCCGCCGCCCAGCACTTGTCAGGTGAGGCGGGACTCAGCTTGGGCCGCCCTCGGGCCGTGAGCAGGGGTGTGGCCCCTCGGCGAGCCCACCTCCCCGCCCCCCGGGGCAGGGCCCTCCCCGGCGCAGTGGGCCGGCCCATGTCTGCACACCCAGGGAGGTAGGGCCCAGCACACCACGCTGAAAGGCGCCTCTTGTCCACTGTAGAACCCCCCCCGCCAGCGCCAGGACTAAGCTGGGGTGCTGGGCTTAAGGGCCAGAAGGTGGCCACCAGCTACGAGAGTAGCCTCTGACGCGGGCAGGTAAGGTGTCCGGCCCCGCCGCAGGGGCAGGGAGGGGGCTGCGGGCAGGTCCTCCGGCGAGAGCCACGCTGGCCCCGAGAAGGGCGCCCTGTGCCCCTCACACCTCCAGCGGCCAGCTCCCGGCCCTGGACAGGCCGCACAGGGCCCAGCACCCAGGCTGCGCGGCCAGACACGGGCAGCCTGGCCCCGGGCCGGCCAGAGCAGGCTCCAGGAGAGCAGTGGCCAAGGTCCTGCCTGGGAGCCCGCCGCCCTCGGGACTCCCCCAGGGGCACCCTGCGAGCCTGTGGGCCGACCGTCCACGCTGGCTGACACGTGGTGGGGCTGCTGCCGCCTGCCTTCCCCGTGACAGGCCTGTGACTGTCTGGCCATGAGTTCCCAAAGGAGGGGCTCCCCAGCTGGGCCTCCAAGGGGTCACACAGGGAAAGGGGCGGCCCAGGCCTGGAGGTGCTGGGGGTCTGAGGGCCTGAGGGCCCACGCCGCTCAGCATCTGGTGGGGAGTGGGCTCCGTGCCCACCGTGGGTGGGGGTGGGTGAGCCCGTGTCTGGGCAGGGCGGTCCGTTAGCAAGGGTGTGCTTGCTGTCAGGATGCTGGTAGGGCACAGCCCGCCGTGAGGCCTGTGTCAGGGTTTGGGGTCCGCAGCACAGCATCCAGCCCGAGCCCTGAGCACCCCCGTCGGCTGGAGCCTCAGTGGGCCCTTCCTCCAGCCAGGTGGGGTCCGAGAGGCCAGACCGGCCCCACCTGTTCCCCTCCTCCCCGCCCCTGCCATCCTCATCTCATCGTGTGTGTTACCCTTTTCTCCCCCAACATGTGCCTCGTCCGTCACCCCACGGGCAGGTCAGGGCGGGGGTGGCCCCAGCAGCCTGGTCCCGGGAGCCAGTTTGGCATTGGAGGCAGGGCGTGGGGCGGAGGTGGCTCCCTGGGCCTTCAGGGCCTCCATCTCAGAGCACAGTAGGGCTGACAGAGGGAGACTGAGGCCAGGCAAGGACAGAGCTTGTCCGGCGACGTGAGCAAAGGCTAGAGCCTGGTGTGCCGCCCAGCAGATGCCCAGGCCTGCAGCCACTGTCTGGGGGCCGCAGTCTCTCTCCTCCTGTCTGGGCCATGGACAGTAACCTAAGAGGGGTCATTCTGCCTCTGTTAGCAGGCGTCCCTCATGCCAAGTCCCAGGCACAGCAGTGAACAAGGTGGACACCACCCTTCCCCTGGGCTCTACCTCCAGTCCTAACCCCATCCCAAAGCGGGGGCCTTGGTTAGACCTGTGCCCAAACCCATGTCCCTGCAAGCTCTTGGGTACCCAATCTGGGCCCCAAGCCGTTCTCCCCTGCCCTCCTTCGGGGGGCCTTGGACCTGGGGGAGCCTGAGCCAGGAACCCAGCCCATGCCCTGGCCCCATCCCCAGGCCTCCTGATGGGTCTCCCTGGACTCTGGCCTTTCCCAGCACCCTCCCGCCCGCTCCAGGTGCTCTTGTCTGGTGAGCTCAGTTCTAGAGCCGCTGTGAGCAGGGGGCAGAAGTGGGGGCCCCTCAGCTTCCAGGGCAAGAGACCTGGTGGCCACTCCAATAGGGACAGGAGGCCCAGAGGTCACATCCCACCTAGCAGAGGCTCCTGTGAGGGCCCTGAGGGAGGAGCCTCCCACCCTAGGCCCCTGCCAGCACCAACATTCCCAGGCCCAGCCGAAGGTGGGAGAGGGTCAGGGAAGGGGGGGCCAACACGAGCTGAGGGGCAGATGGGAGCCACGCAGCTGCCTGAGCTGCAGAGTGGCAGAGTGAGGACACACAGATGGCCAGAGTAGAGCACAGCCAGAACCCTGGGCTTCTCGGTGCCAGAGCCTGTGTCTTGGGCCCAGGGAGGACAGAGGGGACGGAGGGCCAGGCAGGCCCAGGGCACCCAAGGGGCAGGGCCACGTCCCATGTTCCGGCTCTGGTTGTAGCAGGACTCTCCTCTGCCCAGGACAAGGCCCCCGCTCAGCGCCCATATTCTGAGCCAGCCCCACCCCAGGCTCCACCCCCAGCCCCACCCCACCCCACCCCAGCCCTGCCCTCTGTAAGCCCCGCCCCACTCTGGGCTCCACCCCCTCCCCGTCTGGCCCCTCTCTCCAGTCGGCCGGCCCCAGCAAACCCCCTACTCGGCTATGGCCACGCCCCACGCCGGGCTCTGCCTCTCCCTGAGGGCCTGGCCAGAGGCTGAGGGCAGCGCCTGGCCAGGGGTCCAAGTGGGAAGACTTTTTCACACGTCTCCCTCCCTCCTTTCTCCATTCTGTGCTCCAGACACCACTAACTGTATGGAAATGATGACGGGGAGGCTTTCCAAATGTGGTAAGAACCCCTCATGCTCACCTGGGACCCCCCAGCTTGTCACCCCCAGCTGCAGCCTGCTCCTGGCAGGGTGCCGCCCCCGCCGCCCTGAGGGCTATCCTGGGGTCCCTGTGTATACGCGGGGTCCAGACGTGCACACTCGGGCCCACCCAGTCCCCCACCTCTGCCAGGAGCAGCCTCGGTCACCCACCCCCTAGGGCAGCCATAGGCCCGGCCCTAGGATCCAGGCAGGCCAGGAAGGGACCCCAGGGCTCAGAGCAGTAAAGCGTCCGCATGCCCCAAGTTTGGCAAGGGTCCCGTGTGTGGGCTCTGGCCTGGGGTCTGGGCAGACTCCAGACCTGGGCAGGAGGCTGGTGGGAAGCTTTCTGTCCACTGGAGGGGGTGACAGTGTGCTGTGCATGCACAGCGCTGCTCTGGGCTGGCGGCATCAGGTGTAAGAAGTAGAGCAGAGCAGAGGCATCAGGACAGAGAAGAGGGCCCCCCAGGTGGGGGTGGTCAGACCATTTCTGCCCTCTTCCTCTTGCCCTCAGGACATTCCCTCTGGGATCAGGGCTCCCAGTCTGGCTGCCTGCCCCCAGCCCTCCCACACCCAAGCCCTCCATGCCTGTCCACCCATCCGTCCATCTGTCTGTCTGCTGCTGACCCCTGTGTCCATGCGGTGCTGCCCGGGCTGGCAGGGGCCGGGCTCCAGGCCTCCTGGGAGGAGTGTGGTGGGCACACTGGCTCCAGCCTCCGCAGCCCAGAGAAGGCCCCCTGGCCCCCTGCACGGAACCAGCCTGGGGTCCCAGGCTCCTGCTCAGCCCTGGGGCTTGGGGCAGTGCTGGTTTCTCTGTCTCAGTGTCCAGAGTGGGACTGGCCAGCTGGCCAGGCGTTGGGGTGGATGGGGGGGGGGACTGGTGGCTGAGGTGGAGGGGGGCCAGGCCTGGCGAGGGAGGAGGGGTCTCTCCACCTGCCTGCCCCGCTTGCTGCCCACCCGCCCCCGCCTGCCCAGCCCGGCTCAGACCTCATCTCGCTGGGTTTTCTTTCTTCGTGGAGACCCTTTCGTTCATTTGTTTGTTCTCTTTCTCTCTCCTTACCCCCTTCCTCTTTCTCTTCTTTTCTTTTTTCTTGTTTTTTCTTTTGTCTTCTGTTCTGTGTACCCAGGCAGCCCATTGAGTAACTTCTTTGACGTAATTAAACAACTTTTTTCAGACGAGAAGAACGGGCAGGCGGCCCAGGCCCCCAGCACGCCCGCCAAGCGGAGTGCCCACGGCCGCCTCGGTGACTCCGCGGCCGCTGGCCCCGGCCCTGGAGGGGACGCCGAGTACCCGACGGCCAAGGACCCGGCCAGGACGGGGCCGCCCGCCGCCCGCCGCGAGCAGCCTTAGACACATAGCCCCCTGCCCAGGCCGGCACGGCCCGCCCCGCCCGCCCCGCCCGGCCCGCGGCGACACCGGGGAGGAAAGGAAAGGGGGCACCGGGGGCCACCGCCTGCGGCTGGGCCCGCCCGTGCCCGCTCTCTCTTTCCCCTGCTGTCTCTCTCTCTGCCTGCCTCTGACAACGGCACTGTTTCCGCTCTGATACCAGGAAGTATCCCGAAAAGTTAACATGTCACCTCCACGAGGCCGTCCTCTGTGCTCCGCGCCGGACACCGGCTGACCGAAGGCAGCTGCCGCGGACCTGCCCTCCCTCGTCTCCTGCTGCCGCCCCGCCCACCCGCGGCGAGGCCCCGCCCGCCCGCGCCGGGCCCCGCCCACCCGCGGCGAGGCCCCGCCCACCCGCGCGCCGGGCCCCGCCCACCCGCGCGCCGGCCCGCGTGGCGCCTCCGCCCGGGCTCGGCTCCGGACTCACGGGGACCCCCGCGCGGCAGGCCCGGGCCGGCCGGGCCGCCCCCCGCGCCCGCCCCCGCCACGCGCCGCCCTGCAGCCGCCCCTCCCGCCGCTCGCTCGCGTCGCCCCCTGCCCCCGACCCCCGCCCGCCTGGGGCTGCGGCTCCTGCGCTTGGCGACCCTTCCCGGCCGCGCCGGGCGCTGGCCCTGGAGGCCCCGGGGCCGCCTGCCTGCGCCAGGGCTGGCCGAGATCAGTATTACTTATTTGCTCTCTTAACTTACGGAGTTTCCTTCCTTCTCTGTTCAGGGAAGGGGCAGCAGCAGCGCCCTCCTGCCGTCCGTCTGTGTGTCTTGGGCAGGGTGGGGTCTGGGGCCGAGGCGCCCGGAGGCTGGAGCCGGCAGAGCGCCGGGGGGGCGGGGGGCCGGGGGGCGGCGGGGCGGGCCGGCGAGCTACTGTAAACTTCAAAGAATTCCTGCAAGATATTTTTATAAACTTCTTTTTCTTGGTGGTTTTTGGGAAAGGGCGTGGGGGTGGGGGGAGCCGCTGGGGCAGGGTTAGGTTTTGTGTTCAGTTCTTTCTATATACATACACACATATATATTTAAAGAACGGCGCGGTTCGCTCTGTCCCATGTCTGTCCCGTTACTGTGTAGCAGCGACTCCAGTCCCAGGGGCGCGGGGGGCAGGGCGCGGTCTCCGAGCAGCATGGCACCGCCTAGGACCCCCGCCCCCCGTCAGGCCCAGGCTGGGGACGATCTTGGTTCTGTGTCTGAGAGTGGGGTGGGACGAAGGCCCTGAGCTGGCTCCCACACGACAGCAGAGGCATCGCGGGGTTTTTTACTAAAATGACAAAAAGCTAAAAAAAAAAAAAGAGGCGGCATCCTCCGCAGTGTGTTCTCTGTACACAGCGAGGTGGTGGGGTGCAGCCGCCTCACTTCGTCCCTGTCCCCAGCTTCTGCTTGTTTGTGTTGGTGGGCCCGGTCCCTCCAGGTTGGCACAGGCCCCGCGGTGCTGCGAGTGCCCGGAGGGCCTGGCTGCCCTCAGGAGGCACCGGGCCAGCGACGGGCCAGGATGGCAGGTTTTGATTGCATGCCTTCGCTGTAACGAGCCCACTTTGCTTTGGTGTCTCTTACGCCGCCCTCCCCACCCTGCCTCCCTCCCGTCGTGGATAGCTTTTAATGCTCTGTTACATTGACCCCCCCACCACAGGCTGGGATTTCAATACATAAACAAACACCTATAACCGCATAAGCCACGCGGTACAAGCGGGAGGGGCTTCTCCAGAGACAGAAGACACCGAAAGCAATACCTCTTGTCAGCCTTCCTCTTTTGTACTTGGGACACACGCAGACGTCACGGAAATGAACAAGCCCCACCCAGTGTATCCCTTGTCAAATAACTGTGAGCAACCTTAGTTCTCGAACAATAAATTCCTTCAGTAAAAATACCCGACGCCAGTCTCCGTCCAGGCGGGTGGGGCTGGGATGTGGGACAAGCGGGACCAGCTCTTGTCCCCAACACACGCTCCTCTGGGCTCTGCCGGGTGTGGATGGCGCTTGGCGCCCCCTTCTGCCCCGGATGAAGATGATAGACCCCTGTGCAGGGTCAGGGGTCTGCCCCCAGGCTGAGCAGGGATCACATGCTGGGCTGGGGGCAGGAGAGGCCCCCGGGGGGGGGGGGGGCGGCCAGGGAGGTGCCACCTGAGGCTGACACGGACCACCACCCTGCCTGGCCACTACGGCTCTGCTGCCCCCCGCAGACCTCATGGGGTCACTCTGGCATCTGGAGAACGGACCTCCTTTCTGCTCTTTGCTTGGTAAGGGGCGGATGGGGCACCGTGACCCAGCCCTGGAAGTGATGGGCTGAGGCAGGTGGGCAGCCCCTGGAGGATTTGGGCTGGCCTCTCCCACCACGCCCGCCAGCCACCCCTCTGCTGCTGCAGCATGAAGGCCAAGTCCAGACCCCGACAAGCCCCAGGTCACAGGGGAGCAGCTGGGAGTCCAGCCACCACACAGCCTTGACGATGGGTGAGGAGCAAACCACGCCTCCCGCGCAGGCACCCTGTCCCCGTATGTGAAGGGGATCAGGCACAGCGTGGCCGCGGGGCTTGGCAGCAGGGCCCGACTGCACCCAAGGGTCTCATCAGAGCAGGGTCCCACCGCCATAGCACTGACAAGTGGAGCTGGATGGCTCTCTGTGGGGGGGGGGGGGCGACCTGCATCGTCTCTGGTCTCCGCCCCCCCACCGGCACTGGATGCCCATAGCTGCCCCCCAACCCTGCGTGACAAAACTAGTCCCGATGTTGCCGTGGGTCCCCTGGTGGGCAGAATCCACCCCAGAGTCCACGCTCTTACCTCCTGTGCCGTCTTGCTGGAGGAGAGTGCTGGCCTGACGCTCAGTGAGGCGGCTCTGCGGGGACGGCAGCTGCCTCCAGCTCTGCTCAAGGCCCAGCACGTGAGCAAGAATCAGGGGGCCTGGGACTGGGGGTTCTTCCTGGGTCAGCTGTAGAGCGGCACCCTGCCTTTTGGGAGGTGGGCGCCCAGAAGGTACTTCGGAGGTGCGGAGGGGCCAGGCTCCAGCGCAGTCACTGAGCCGCATGCGTCCCATTAGCTTCAGCTGAAGGACAGGCTGGAGGAGGGGGTCTGGCTGCTACAGTTCAGCCAGGCCTGGTCATCCAGCCGCTGGGCTCCCGGGTTGCTGGCCACGGGAAAAGTCTCCCTGACCAGTGGTTCTGCACCTGCACCCGACACAGACCTCATCTTCCTCTAACACTGGCGACGTGTCGGCCTTCAGGGGCCACATGGCGGGAAGCCCCCCGAGCATCACGGCACACCCAACAGACCGGCCCGCCTTCCGCCTGCCCGCCGCCACACCCCTTCAGCAGGAAGGCCGCGCCCTGCAGTCCTGCTCCAGACACTAGGCTCTCTCTCGGTTGTGAGAAACAGAAACCAAGCAAGTGAAGCCAAAAACTGTTGGTATTAACATCCACTAATACAAAGTATGTATAAAATAAAAACCAATCCCTAAAAACTAGAACAGTGTCCTGAGCACTTTGCACTGAGCATTGAGCCAAATGGTCCTCATGCTAGTCCTGTAAAGTAGAAACGGAAAGGGGTACTTAAACCCAGAACGGTATGCTGGTGGGTCTAGCACCCGGTGAGGGGCTGGCCTCTCGGGCCTGACGCGTTCCCGGGCACTGGCACGCTTTGGGTGCCAGCCGCTGCTGGCCTGGGGTACTGGTGAACAAATCAGCGGTTGTGCATCCACCAGAGTCACGGCGGAAGGGAGGCGGAGGAAGGGAACCTGACGCGTGCCCGTCCTCAGGGGCTCTGGGTGTCGGCAGGTGGCAGGGGCAGGGCGCAGACGCACGCGAGGGGCACGTGCTCGGCGCTGCGGAGAGCCGGCCCGGACCCTGTCCCCGCTCTCGCTGACAGTGGAGGCAGAGGGCCCCACAGGCTCCTGAGCTGAGGTGGAGCGACTGCTGGTGCGTGAGGCCAGCTTCGGGGAGGGGTGCCTCGGCACCCCGGCTCACGCATCTCCCACGCCAGGGAGCTCAGCACCACAAGTGGCCAGGCCCTTGCTGGTGGTTCTGCCCTCCCCCTCTCCCTCTGCCCTCGCCCCAGGCCACCAGGGGTGCCATCACCAAGTCCAGTGCCCGCCCCCCCCCTTCATCTAGCCCACTCCCCACCATCAACCCAAATTTCTTCTGGTGTGATTCATCAAAGGGTGCAGGTTAGCAGGGAGCAGAGGAGATGGCCAGGGACAGGAAGGGCATCAGGGCAGTGACGTGGGCTGGAGGAGAAAGGCAGCTGGGGCGGATGGAGGCAAGGGAGGGAGCGCCTTCGACCCGGGGGGCGTGCCAGCCTTGGGGCCCGCGTGGGACAGCAGAGTCTACACTGCTGGTCACAAGCCCACGTGCTGCTGTCTGTCGAACTCCTCCTCCGTGTTAGGCCCTGGACTAAGTGTCTTAGAAGTCATGTCCTTGTGGCCCCAGAATGACCGCACGAGAGCTCTGTGGCTCATCTTCAACATGTATTAGTTCCCTATTGCGGCCCCAACAAATAGCACAGACCTAAAACACAATTTGCTATCTTAAGTTCTGGAGGTCGAGCACTGGGTCTCACTGGGCCAAAATCAGCGTGTTGGCAAGGCTGGTTCCTTCTGGAGGTTCTATGGGAGGATCCATTTCCCGGCCCTTCCCAGCTTCCGGGGGCACCTGCGTTCCTTGGCATGGGGCCCTCCTCCATCCTCACCGCCAGGGACATCAGGCTGAGTCCTCTTGCTGCCTGCCGGTCCTCTGGTTCCTTCTTCTGCCCCCTCCTCCAGTTTTAAGGAATCTTGTGATTATACCGGCCCAGATAATCTCTGCATTTCAAGTTAAACTGATTAGCAACTTAACTCATCTGCAACTTTAACTCCCCTCTGCTGTGGAAGGTGCTATGCTCACAGATTCTGGGGACTAGGGTGTGGATATTTGGAGGGGGCATTATTCTGGGTGTGGAACTGCCCTCTAGCAAGTTCCACATCTATCTCACATGGAAAACACACTCACCCCAACCCGGGTCCCCAAACTCTCAGCAGCATCAAGTCAAGCCCCAAATGTCATCTAAGTCACCTAAATCAGGTATGGGTGAGACTCTGAGTATGATCCATACTGGTGCAAAATCCTCTCCTTCGAAACTAGAAGTGCTACCTGCTTCCAGAATGCAAAGGTTACAGACATTCCCATCCCAAAAGGGAGACAAGGGAAGGAGGTGGGCATCACAGGTCCCAAGCAACTTCAAAATCCAGCCAGGCAAACTCCACGAGGTGCCGTCAAGGCCTGGGAAGAACCGTGTGGCTCAGGCTCTCCGCTCCGGGCCATGCTTTCTTCTAAAGACACACGGCGTCGGTTTGCAGCTGACAGTTCACCAGTGTTCCTGCCCACGGGGCCTGGGCGTCCAACAGCCTTGGCCTTCATCCTCCCTCCGTGCCCTGCGGTCCCAGCTGCCAGGGTTTCCGACGGTGTGGCTCTCCTGTGTGTGTCATGGGGATTTGCTCCATAAGCCCAGACGCGCCTCCAGATCCTTACAGGGAAATCGTCTTTTCTGTTCCGGCTTTTGCGGAGATGTGTGAGGGGTCTACTAGTCACACGCACGAGCTCTTCAAAGTTCCCGCCACGTGACTGACGCTCGGAGCTTGCTCGGCTCTCTGAGGTGTTAGCAAAAGGCTGTCCAGCTACGGCCTCGGCTTGTTCTCTAGAGCACATTTTTTCTGGCCACGAACCTCCTGATTTTAGTGTCTTCTGTCACTTGGCTTGGCTACAAAGCTCCCATGTTGTCAAGGGGCAGAGCCCTTTTGTTCAAGAGCTCTGCCTTCTGACGGGCTTCCCTCCCCCACGTCGTATGAGCAGCAAGAAAGGAGGCTGCCCCTTCCACGCCGTGCTTGGCAATCTTCTTGGCTAAACATCAGGCGAACGGCCCCTGAGTCCTGCCCTCCGAGGGTGGTGGGGAACTCAGCGGGGCTTTCTGCAACGCGACACTATGCGTCCAGGGTCCACCCCAGCAGTGCCTGTCACATGCCGGTTTCCCCGGACAGGTGCTCATGACGGTTTTAGGCGTTCCTCAAGGCGACTCCGCCAGGTCCCCCCCGTGCGGCCCCTCGTTTACGTGTGAGCCTTTGGTAGTGGCGTCACGAACATCCATACCTCCTCCTACCGATCGTCTGCTTCAGAAAACCTGGGCTTCCTCTACCATGCCCCTCAAAAGTCTTCCAGCCTCAGCCCGAGGCCGCGTCTACGGCACGTTTGCCACGGTGGCACCGCACCCCGGGGACCACAGTCTGCGCTCAGTTCCCGTCACTGCCATGGCAGTGCCTTATCTCCGCTCTGGAAGTCGGAGTCTGAACTGGATCTCACTGGGCTCCCACCCAGGTGTCAGCAGGGCGGGTTCTTCTTGAGGCTCAAGTGGGGGAAAACACCTCCTCCTCCTTCCAGCTTCTCAAGGTGCGGCACCCCCGGCTCACGGCCCCTTCTCCCTCCCACCTGTGGTGGCCAGGCCTTTCTCATGCCACCCTCCTCTGCTGACAAGGACCCTTGTGCCGTGTCTCGGCAGCCAGCACAGAGCTAACAACTGGGCAGGGTGGGGGGAGACGGGCTGTCCGGGCAGAGCTGAGACGCCACCGGGAGTGCTCCCGGCACGGAGCCCAGCTGCCGGCGGGACCCAGGAGGGCCCCACGCAGACACCTCACCATGCGGGCCCAGAAGGCCTCCCCGCAGCCCAAGTGGGCCAGGACGCTCTGGCTCTTGCAGCAAAGAGCCCGCTAGCTGGTGGACAGCACAGGGCATCGCCCTCACCCTCGGAGGAGTGCAGGCTGCTCCTCACCCTGGCTGCCTGTCCCTTCCCGGGAGACTTTCTGAGGCCCGGTGACCAGTGCTGTACCCACGACCCCCATGTGCCCAGGGGTTCCACAAGTCCTTCCTGAGTCAGAGAAACATGACCGTGTGTGTCCCAGACCCCGTTCTGCAGATACAGAGCTCATGCACACACACACGCGTGTGCACACACCGATCTCAGACTCCATCAAGCAGCTTGAGCTAGAAATCCCCGTGTCCTCCCCGCACCAGCGGCGTCCACCCTGGCCAGCCACAGAGCCCCAGTCTTGCCACCTCAGGCCTGCGCTCAGCAGCCAGACCCCACTCCTGGAGACACACTGGACACAGCTGTTGCCCGGCCTGCCCCCGCCCCAGCCCGCGACACTGCCCAGAAAGGCCAGTGGAGCCAGGCCCTGGCCTGCTGCCTTGCCCCAGGAGGTGGTCCTCGGCACCTCAGGCCAAGCAAGACCCCTACCTCTGGCTCCCACACCCGGCCCTGTGGTCAAGTTCCTGAGGCCTCTACTCAGGGCGTGCATGCCTAGAGAAGCGAAATGACCAGCAGGGGAGGCGGGGAGGGACTGGGGCCCACACAGCCCAGCAGACTGAGGTCACAGTGAGGCCCAGACAGCAGAGGGGAAGACAGCATGACAGGGACGGGGTGACCTGAAGGTGGTGCCGGGGCCAGGCCTTGCTCAGCTGCAGGGTTTTGGGAAGCAGCGGGGTAGTGGGGCTACGCACGGGTCAGAGAAGCCCAGCCCTCTGGGAGTGAACATCTGCAGGCCTCTGTGGGAGAGGCCAGGGCTAACGGGATGGTGAGGTCTCCTACCTGGTGACAGGTGCAGCCTGGACGCTGCAGATGTGTCCAGTGATTAGGGGACAGAGGGGAGGAGGCTTCCCACGACCTGGAGCTCCTGACCAGACAGGGACGGAAACATGAGCTCCAGTGAGATGGCAGCAGGCCCCGAGGGGTACAGCAGGGCCCAGGAGCCTTCTTGCAGGGCAAGCAAGATTGCCCAGGGGTTCAGAACATGAATGAGTTCAGCACATTAAAGTCATGTTGAAACAATTCTAATGCCTGCTCTCCGTGTCCAGGGACTGAGTCAGTGGGGTGGAGACTGGTTCAAGCACCAGGGAGTTTTAAAGTCCCCCCCAGCTGACCATTGTGCAGCCACCGGGGGAGGTACTCTGGTGCAGGGAGGGGTCAGGGAGACGGTGCGGGACCCTGGAGGGGAGGTGGGGGCCAGAACGTGAAGACAGGGTACACCTGCATTTTGTGGTCGGCTCCGGGACTGTCAGATGGGGGGCAGTTCTCAGGGGCAAGAGGAGGAACCATCACCAGGAGAAGGCAGGCGGGCCTGGTGGCCACCACGAGCTGCAGAGGTCCCACCGGTCATGGGAGGCAGAGGTGGGGGTGGGCTCCGCTCTCCAGCTAGGCCCTGGGGCTGGTGATGGGCCAGGAAAGCAGAGGAAGGCCACAAGCACGTTTTGCAGTAGCCGAACTTAAGGGCCAGGTGAGCGGCAGGAGGGCAGAAACCGAGGACCTACCTGGTGGGGAGAAAGCTGGGGGTGGGAAGGGTGGAGGAGCTGTAGCGAGTCAGGAGACAGAGACCAGGGCCCCCACCACTTAGGGCTGTGTGGGTGTGGGGGGTGGTGAGCATGACAGCCATGGACAGCCAGAGAAGGCTGTCCCCAGGTGATACGTCAGGGTAGGAGGGCAGGGCCCCCTGCCGGAGCCCCCTCTTCTCTCTTCTCTGCCCACACAGGGCCTAGACAAGCTCCAGGGCTCAGTTTAGGTCCCGCCCCGCCCCTGCACTCAGCCCGCTCCCGAGCTCTCCTCTCTGCTCATCCCTCAGACCACAGTGCCCAGGCGAGGGCTGGCCGGCCTTCACAGCAGAGCCCCCGGGGCCAGGCTGGCCAGGACCCCCCCCGGCCCGTCCCAGCACACTCTCTAGGGTGCCTGTCACCTGCACAGGAGGGCAAAGTACAAGCAGAGTGGTCAAGGCCCCCTGGAGATGCAGGAAACAAGGCACGTGTCGTCCCCCCGCAAAACCCACCCCACTGCCAGCACCCCAAGTCCTGCAGGTCAGCTGAGGACACAGGGCAGCAGGGGAGTCTGTGGCTGACCCTGGCAGGAAGGGTCCAGGCTGGGGTGGGCAGGGGCCACCTGAGGGGGCAGGAGGCAGGCGACGGTCCCAGCTGCTGGGCCAGGCCACCCTCAGTATCACACCAGCCCTTGCACCCTCAGCACGGTCACCGAGGCGCCGAGGATACACACAGGCACTGACCTGAGCGAATTCTTTTTATTACGACCGAACAGGTGAGCGGAGCGGGACACCCAGCCTTCCGCCAGCAGCCGCGTCTCCACACAGGCTGCCCGCCCAGGCACCTCGGTCCTAGGCCCAGCTAGTCCAGGGGCCCTCGTGGGCAGCGGGGCAGGAGAGGGGGGAACGAAGCCACAGGGTCAGGGCCCCTATGGGGCACCCCTGGCCACGCCTACCCCACCTGCTCTGAACCACTGGCAGCCAAGATCCTAGCAAGGCCAGGAGAGGGAGGAATCTCTAAAACAGCCCCACCCTGGAAACAAACCAAAGTGAGCCCAAGTCCCTCCTGGGAAGGAGCCCCAGCTCCCACGGGTGTATTTCTCTCAAACAGCAGAGCCCCCAGGGCAGGGGGAGGCAGGGGCGGGGGCCACACGGAAGACCAAGGAAAGGAAAGCCCCACAGGAGAAGGAAACTCAGACCGGCAGTCCCATAAACGTTTGTTGAGCGAATGGATGAAATCCAAAGGTCCTTCTTGACAAGCGGCACTCATCCATCCAACAGGAAAACCCCGGCGGGGGGCCAGTCCGATGCGTGGCCCGCCAGCGTCTGGGGAGCCCACACTCGGCGCGCCCGGGCCGGGTGGGGGGCAGCGGCAACCTCTCAGGCCTCCCGCCGAGCGTGCCCGGGGCGTGTGCGCACACGCAAGCACGTGCACCACCGTCTCTCTGCACATGTGCGCGCCTGTCGGCCGGGGGCTCACCTCTCCTTCCCGTGGTTCTGTGCCCCCGCGCCCCCGCCGCTGGCCCCTTCCCCGCCACCCCCGCCGCGGCCCCCGCCGCTGCACAGCACCTCCGTGAGGTCGTCCATGACGGCGGTGTCTTTGGAGTCGAGCAAGTTGAACTCCCTGGCGAAGAGGATGAAGTGGACGTAGAGCGTGTTCAAGTGTCCATGTAGCTCAAGGGCCAGGGTCTCCTTGAAGTGGGACCAGTAGATGTGCGCCAACACGTGGAACAGGTACTTGCAGATCTTCTTCACCAGAGACTCGAAGGAGCTGGGGAATTCTCTGCCTGGGGAGAGAGTCCACGGCGTCAGCCCGCACTGCGCTCCGTCCACCACGCAGTACCTCTCAGGGGCCTGGGCGCCCACCGTCAGGAAGGAGATCATCTGCAGGACTAGCCTGGAGGGCTCCTGCCCGCCACACCCTCCCCGCTGAGCAGCCCACTGGCAGGCGCCCGAGTGACCGGTCACCCTGGGCCTGGCCCCGAGAGCTGATCTGCGTCCAGGGGCCCGTGACCCTGCCATAGGCCACCCGAAGCCTGGACTCGGCCCGGGGTCACGTGTGCTTCCCTGACGGATGCTCTTGGGCCTCTATACGGCCTGGGCCACAGAGGAGGACGGGAACCGAGGTGCACGGAGTCCTCCTGCTGGCTCCGTATTGGCCTGGAGCCCCCCACCAGGACCTGCCCAGGCCGGGACACAGGGCGGCCGTTACCGCTTGCTGGCTGTCAGGTCCCCAGTGAGGTGGCCTGCAGCAGCCCCACCGTACAGAGGGCAGAGCGGGCGGCAGAGGGCCCAGGGCCTGGGGTGGGTGCGGTCTGGACCCGGGCTGCGCTGACCCCTGCCAGGGCGCACCTGCCTGGCCTTACAGCCGCCCCCATCCCGTGGGTCTGGCCCCTTCGCGTCGGCAGCCACGGCCGCCCAGCAAGGAGGAGCGCAGCAGGGCAGAGACGTACCGTATTTCGTGGGGAACACATCCTCGTCGGTCACCAGCTTCTGCACGGAGCTCATGACAAAATCGACGTACTGGGGAGCAGTGCACTTGACCTTCTTGCCCCGCTCGTCGTACCAATAGTACTGGCTGTGGGGACAGAGGGGGCCGGTTACGGTGCCCCCAGACCCCCAGCGACTCTTGCCCGCCCCCCTCCGCCCTGGCCCCAGGGGTGGAGGTGTGGCAGGTGTCCGGGCTTCCCCTCCCAAAGCCCCCAGGGGAGACACACTGCTTCCCACCACCTGGAGACCCTCAGCTGCATCCCACAAGGGTCTGCCGCACCGACTCCGAACGTCCAGGACAGAGCACGCCGTGTGAACACACGTGTACAACGTCAGCAGAAGGCGTGCTCATTTTCTCCACCACGTGGGTGCAAGTTTCATTCCTTTAGAGGGACGCGTGTTTTGTATGATTTGAAGAGGCATGGAGGGCACGCTGTCTGCTGCTGCCCCGCCTCTTCCAGGGACACTGCTGTGACTTGTCAGCTGGGCCTCGACCCTTGGGAACACCCCTGCTCCCCCTACTAGGAGCCGCATGCCCTCCACTGGCCCAGAGAGAACAGCTGAACACCTGCGGGCAGAGACACCAGGATCTCTCACCGTGCGAGTCTCCCAGTTCGTGTGAGCGTGGACTGCCCCCCGCCCCAGCGCTTCTCTCCCCAGAACACACACAAGCGCCCGGTGGGTACTCCTCTGGCAGCCACCCTGCTCTCCCCACCCCTGCTCCCGTCTCCCCAGAGGACTGCTGTGCTCCTGCAGGCTGGCTCACCAAGGGCTGGACCCAGAGCCACAGGAGGGCGGAGGGGGGGGCGCCTCTAGTCCGCTCAGGGGCGTGGTGCATGTGGGTGTGGGGCTGTACCCGTGAGGGACTGAGTGGCCTAGACCCCGACGCTCTCAGCCCCCTGCCCCAGCCAGATGACGGGCAGCCTTCAGGCACCAGGCTTCACACAGACGTTTCCCTCTGTCCGGCACACAGCTGGCTTTACTTGGCCTCAGAATCAGCTTAGACTAGGTTTCCCCAAACCTCAACATCCCACCTTGCTCGGGGACCCCAGACTGGCTCAGAGTACCCTGCCCCGATTGGTTGCGTGTACCAAGTACCCCTGGATGACAGCCATGAGGGCTAACCCACTGCTACCAACCACCCTGTCAGGCCTGTCCTCAGGACAGTGGGGTCCCCATTTCCCGTGGCCAGCCTGACCCTGGACAAGTGACCTCAAGACAGCTCCACGGCCACCGCCCCTGCACCGGCAAGCCCACCTCCATCGAACAGGAACCGGGGCTCCGCTCCGCCCCAGGCAGGGTGTGGGGCTGGCCAGCAAGACCGGGAAAGCATGGCCTCCACACTAATGGACAGGCCCCGGGAGGAGGCCAGCCTTCGTGGATAAGGGGACATGGCCCGACTGCCACTCAGCACCACACCTGCCCACTTGGGGGTGGCAGGTGTGGGGTGTGACGGGGGTGTCGGGGCTTTGCAGGAGGCTACTCGGCTACTCCGGGGCTACTCCTGGGCACTGCCACGCACCCACAGGGAGGCCGGGCTCCACAAGAGCCTGGTGCCAGGTGCCCCACAAGGCCCAGGAACATGAGCGGGCAAGGGAGCTAGTTCAGACAAAGCCCTAAGAAGCTTGCCAAATTCCTGCTTGCCCCCAGGAAGTAGAAATCCAGCAGGGCGCTCCCGTCCGTTAGAACACCTGCCCGAGCACCCTCCCCGCCACAAGGTGGCTCTGCTGACCCTCCTCCCGCCTGCCCAGACGTGGGCACAGGGCGGGTCAGATCACCTGAGGGCGAGAAGACAAAGCCCCTTTCTGTGTCACTCTGGACAGCCTGAGGGGGTCCCTGTGCGGGGAAGTGGAGGAGCCCGGCCTCCGGGGGCCAGGCTGAGGCCCATGTCTGCAGTGAGGTCCAGAGGCCAAGGCCCAAAGGCTGGGCGGGCATCACAGACATCTGCTCCACCAATCCACCCGGCACCGCCCGCGGACGCTGATGCACCTGGCCACAGGGGCCAGAGGGTCACAAAACACAGCTGCAACTAGAAACTGGGACACATGTCTCCCCAACGTGCGGCCCAGAGAGACTGGCTCCTGAGGGACGAGGACTGCCCCATCTGTTTGAAAGACGAGACCCTGTGCTTTCAATGTTCCACTTGTTTCCATTTTTAAGTTACCGGGCAGTACAGAGAACGCGTTCTGGCAGGCAGGCCTACAGCTTCACCTGTCCAGACAGCCAGGCAGCTCCCACCCCCTCCCCCGGTCAGTCCCCAGCACACCAGGGATGGCCCCAGGGGAACGCCACAGGACGTCCTGAGCCGGGCTGCGGGCTCCAGCCATGTCTCAGTGTGCGCCCCGCGGCCCCCGCCCCCGCCAGCGTGGAAGGGCCAGCGCGCCCAGCCGTTCCCCCCGCTGGAAGACACCTGGCTCGTTTCCAGTTTGGGGCAATTATGGCTCCACCTATTATAAATGCTCCCGGGCAGGTTTCTGTGTGAGCACAAGCTCTCGCTTGTCTAAGACGAACATTCAGGATCTGCACTTGCTGGGCCCGTAAGAGGCCACCAAACCACCGTCGGACTGGCTTGTGCATCGCTCCGCTGCCACGTCCCTGCCAGCACGGGGCCTGCTGTCCCCACCTGCTGCTCTAGGGGCTTGTCCGCTCTCCTGGGTCCTCTCCGCTGACCTGTGTGTCCAGGCCCGGACCCACTGGGGACCAGCTGCTGTTCGTACGCCTGAGTTGCAAGGGTTACTCACACACTGGGCGCCGGTCCCCTCTTGGGTATACGATTAGCCCATGATCTGTCTATGTTTTCTCCTAACAGCGTCCTGATTCTCAGAGCAGAAGTTCTAACTGTGGCTTATGCCCGACAGTATTACTGATTCTTTCTCATCAATGAGCCTTGTGTCACGGTCAAGAGCTCCTCGCCTAGAGCTAGGTCATGAAGATTTCCTCGTTTTCTTCCAAAAGTCTTATAGTTTCACAATTTAGAATCCATTTGGAGTTAATTTGGGCATAAAGGTTTTGGTCAAGATTCACTTTTTTTTTTTCTTTTTTTGCACACAGGTGACTGATTTTTCCACCAGCATCAGTTGAAGGGACTATCCTTTCTGCACTTTCTTCTTCATCTTTGTCAACAATCAGAGGGCCGCCTTTGTGTGGGTCTATTTTTGGACCCTCCACCGCCCCCCCCGATCTGTGGGTCTGTCCCCGACGCTGTCCTGACAGTGGGACCAGGACTGTGCTCGTCCATGCGCAGTCAGCCAGTTTGTCTCATTCTGCAAAAACCGTGCTGGGCCTCGTACCGAGAGGGAAGGAAGTGAGCAGACGGACCCGGCAGAACTCCCACTCGGCGCCATGCTGGCTTCTCCACAGCTGCTCCCCAGCACCTCGCCCTTCGCAGTGCGCAGACACGTGTCTGTGGGGCTGTTGTAAATGGTGCGGTTCTCTTAGTCTGGGGCTCCAGCTGTACCCTGCTCGATGTTTTCCACACAACCATGCTGCACACACTACTTGGGGCACTTCTAGTTCTTCTGCACCGGGATGCCTTTCATCCCTGGTTTCTTGCTGTACAGCACTGTCCATTTGAGTGAATTTTGGTATTTTGTTCCTACCAAGGAACTGGTCCGTTCAAACTGTCCAATTTACGTATGCAGGGATTTTTGGTATGTTTCCTTCATATCCTCTCAGTATCTGCTGAGTTTATAGTGACACCACTTTTATTCCTTATACTGATACTCTACACCTTTTCTCTTTGTCAATCTTGTAAAAGGCCTATCAATTTTATTGATCTTTTCAAGAAATCAGCTTCTGGTTTCATGGATTTTCCTGTTTTCAGAAATCAATTTCAGTGATTTCTACTCCATTATTTCTTTTTTCTGCTCAATTTGGGTTTATTTTGTTCTTCTTTTTCTAGTTTCTTAATATGGAAGCTTAGTTCCCGATTTGAGATCCTCCTCCTACAACAAACACATAACCCTATAAATTCCCCTCAAAGCTTTGCTGTGTCCCACAAATTCAGGTATGCTGCGTCTTCATCTGTGCTCAGCTTAAAACATTTCAAATTCCCTCTGAGCCTTCCTCTCTGACCCGTGGATTATTTAGAAACGTGCTCATTCCCAAGTGTTTGGAGATTTTCCTGTTATCTTTCTGTTACTGATTCTAGTTTAATCCCGTGACAGTGAGATAAGGAATGTACTATGATTCTGATTCTTTAGAATGTGCGAAGGGCTGTTTTGTGAGCTGGGATGCCATCTCCTTTGGTGACTATTCATTCCGTGCGCACTTGAGCAGAACGTGTCCTTTGCTGTCGACGGTGAAATGCATCCAGCCCAGCTGGCCGATGGTGCTATTCTGTCCTGTATCCTTGCTGACTTGCTGTCCACCAGCTCCGTCTACCTCCAAAAGAGAAGAGCTGAAGGCTCCCACTCTGAGGTGATTTCTGTCCGTTCCTCTCAGTTCTGTCCATTTATTTTGTGTAAAAGCGGCTACTTGGTGCACACGCATTCAAGATCAATACTTCTTGATTAACTGATTCTTGTAAATATGCAGTCTTCTTTATCGCCCGTGGTTTACTTTGCTCTGAGGTCTTCGGAGTCTGGGATTCACAGAGCCACTGCAGCTCTCTTCTGATGGCTCTTCTGTGGATACAGCTTCTCTATCCATTTAGTTTTAACCTACAGACGTCAATGCACGTGAAGTATTTTGTGAATGCTTACAGTTGGCTCAGCTCAGAAATCCACTCCTGCACAGTGGAGCCCCTTCACCTGTGGTTTCACTTTCCCTGGTCTCAGTTCCTCGTGGCAGCGCCGTCCAGAAGCAGACACTGCTCCTCCTTCGGACGCAGCGTCCGAGGCTGAGGACGATATAATGGCGTACCATGCCCGCCTGCCTCAGTGCCCCCCCTTCACTGCACCACGTGGGTATTTCATGGTCGCACGCTATCACAAGAAGAAAGTGGGTACAGCGCAAGAAGAGATCTTGAGAGACAGACCACATTCACATAACTTTTATTACGGCGCACTGTTGTAACTGTTCTGTTTTTTTGTTTTTGTTTTTTTTTTTAAGATTTTATTTATATGACAGAGAGAGACACAGCGAGAGAGGGAACACAAGCAGGGGGAGTAGGAGAGGGAGAAGCAGTCTCCCCGCCGAGCAGGGAGCTGATGCGGGGCTCGATCCCAGGACCCCGGGGATCATGATCCAAGCCGAAGGCAAACGCTCAATGACTGAGCCACCCAGGTGCCCCGTAACTGTTCCGTTTTGTTACTAGTTATCTCTGTACCTAATTTATCAATGAAATTTTACCACAGGCCACAGGGTTCGATGCAGTCCAGAGTTTCAGGTGCCCAGCGGGGCTGGAAGCACAGCTCCCACGGCTGGCGGCCGACTCTGGGAGCTCTGTTTGGCCCTCTGACATTTATGGGATTTCTGGTGTGTTTGAATTTTTTACCACCTTTGTTTACCGCTTGTTCCTTTTGCTTCTCGTCCCTTGTATCTCCTCTTTCCTGCCTTCTTTTGGGTTATGATTTAGTCCTTCCTTTCAGTTTACCCATTATGACTTCGACTACATCATTTACACAACTTTTCAGAGGTTGCTCACAGGAGTATAAAATACATACTCCACCTGCTTTCCACACTGTCTGTTACACCACCTTCCCGCCACTCCAGTGGGAGCACCGAGAGCCCAGCCCACCGCCGTCTCCTCTGCTGTGACCCATCAGATGGGTGTGGCTCAAAGCGCTCCACATGGCCAGTCCCCAGGTCCATCCCTGTCGCTCGTCCTGCACAGACGGTCCCAGTCCCCTCGCTCTGGGATTCCCTGCAGGAGGTCTGCCGACTGTGGATGCTCTTAGTTTTCCTCCCATCTGAGAAAGGTCCGTATTTCACCTAAACCCTTGAAGGATACGTGTGCTGGAAGGAGGACTGTGGGGTGGACTGCTCTTTCCTTTCGGCGCTTTAAAAACGTGGCAGAGCTTCCTTGTGGCCCAAGGCTTCTGACGAGCGCTGCAGTCACTCGCCTGTGTCCTCGAGGGTTGGCTCTGCTCCGGGAAGGCCTTCTCTTTGCCCAGTTTTGTGATGACGTTTCTGTGCATGGACTCCTCAGTTTGTCCTACTTGGAGTTCATTCGGCTCCTTGAATTTGTAGGTTTGTGTCTGCCAAGCTTGGAAAGCTTCAGCCATTATTTCTTCAAATACATTCTCCGCGTGGCCCTTTCACGTCACCTCGGGGACTCCAGCACGACCCTCTGGTTTCCATGTCTAGGCCCCACTCCAGGCCCCAAGCAGACACGTTGGTCCTGGGGCAGCACGCAGCTCTGGGACCTCTGGCAAACCCGCTTTCTTCTCTTCAACTAATTTGACATCAAACAACTGCTAGGAAGGCAGTAAGTATGCCAGGGCCCGTAAGCCTGAAAGACCCTGTGAAGGCCGCTGCAGTCGAGAAGAACAAGAAGTGGGCACCCCAGGCTCACACCAAGCTCTACGTGCTTTCCAGGAGTCTCTTCTCAAACATGGGGATACCGAAGGAAACATGGGAGCAGAGGAGCCCAGCTTCCCCACCTGCCTGCCCTACGGGCCACCTCGGGTACCGCTGGGTCGGGCCCAGCCAGCAAGCGTCCTCCTGAGCGTGCCACACACACGGCAGCTCTAAAACACCGTCCTCACCCGCCTCCAGCATCTGCCGCTGGGCAGTCTACTCTACTGAGGGCCCTTCCCTCCCATATCACTGTCCTCCAAGCTCACCAGTCCCAACCTCCCCTGGGGCATCCCTGCCTGTGGCCAGTGGGGACACATGTAATGCCTGGGCTCCCATCAGTGGCCTTTTCTGGGTGACAGAGTGGAGAGCCAACTACTGTCTACATTTGCTCGCACGGGACCTAGCCCTGAGCTGTGACCTGCTGGAGCCACAACAGCAGGGCCTGGCAGGGCTGAGAGCCAGGCCTGTGCCAAGGCTCATGGGCTCTCAGCGACCGGAGAGCTCCACTTGCCTGCGTTTGAGCTGGGTCTGTGCCCAGGAGCATGGCCAGCAGCATCTGTGGGCAGGATGAACTCAGGACAGCACACAAAATGTGTGTTCGCCAGCAGGGGCTAGCGGCTCATGCGTACTTGCCTCGGCCCCTGACCTGCAGCCCCGACAATAAAAAGGAGGTACGAGAAAGGAGCTTCCGTGCCACCTCCTTAGTCACAACAGCCCCAGGCTGAGCCCCAGCACACCTGGCCTCCTGTCTGAAGCCACCTTCCATCCCTTCCGCTATTAGAGGCCAAAGGCAAGTCTGTGCCGTGCAGTGCTCTCCTCCCCACACCCCAATCAGGAGCTGCTGCGAATCCAGTGAGGTGCCTCGAAGCCCCCCTGGGGTACCTGCCTACTGAAGACACGAATGTGCACAAGCTTCCGAAAGAGAATGAACAGCACCCAAGGCCCACTGAAAACTCACTGAGAAGGCATCCCGGTCCCACAAAACCAGCCAACGAGGAAGGCAGTGAGTGCCCTCCTCCACCCCGTCCCTCGCTGTCTCCTTCTTCACTCCCTCCCACAGGGCGGGAGCTCTCGGGAAAAGCCATCCTTCAACTAAGTGAAGCAGAGAAGCATCTGCAGCTTCACGATGCTCTGCTATCTTAGGAAACCAACCGAGGCATGTTCACCCCTAGCCCCAAGGAGCTCGGCCACCAGCCTCTGGCCGGCTCCTGGCACCCCGTGCCCCAGCAGGACCCACGCCACCGAGTGCCTCCCCTTGCTGGGCTCTGCCTCCTGTGTCCCTGCCCCACGGGGATAGGAGGTGCAGCCCCAGCCAGGACACGGCTGAGGAGACCCCGCAGGGGCGCCATGAGAGGGTGCAGGGGCTGGGCCACAGCCCAGCAGCGACTCACGTGTTGCACACGGCCATCGTCTGGCAGGCCTCTCCCGTGCAGAACTCTGAGATGGTGCTGTACTGCAGGTTGACGTGGTGGAAAAATGTGGTGGCTGCGAGGGACGAGAAGGACCAGGTGTGAAAACCACCACTGCAGCATGCTGGACGTCCCAGTGCCCTGCAGGCCCAGGAGGCCCGGCACTTCTTCCCGCGGGCCCTGGGGCAGCCAGCACGCGCCATAGACCAGAGACACACGTCCCGGCGCAGAGCACTGGCCCTGGAAGACGGCCACCAGCCTCTGTCTCGTGGGCTGGCACGTGTTCGCACAGTGCCAAGCTGGGCAGAGCGCCAGCGGCCATCCAGACGGCGTCCCCGCCACGAGGGGTGGGGCAGGCAGACATGCTGTGAGCCCTGAGCCCCAGGCCTGCCCAGCGGGTGGAGGTGACAGCCACCCTCCCCTGCGTGGGTCATGGCCTTCCCATGACCCTGGCCCTGCCGGCCTTGCAGCTGCACAGACAGTCCCCGGCACGGCGGCCCATCCCTGGAACCCTCCCCGGTGGGACCCTAAGTGCACTGCCGGGCCGGCCACCAGCTCCAGGGAGTCCCCGAGGAGGTGGCCACCTGCAGCCCCTGTGGTGCCCTTCCCCACCCCACGCCACACGCACTGTTGCTGGCCAGCCACTCGTTGAGGTCGATCTCCCGGGGCAGCACCACCAGCTCCTTGAAGCCGACGTCGGTGATTCTGGACTTGGTGTACTCTGGCTCCAGGTACATCTTCTTCTCCTCGGCAGCAGGCTTCTTTCCGTTGGGCTTTGCTTTAGACTTCCTGCCGGACAGAAGGGAGCAGAGGGTCACTGCATGACAAACGCAGGCATGGAGGCCACGAGCTAGGTCCCAGGACATGAGCGGGGCTGTCCCTGCCAGTGGGACAACCGGGGGGGCTCTTCCTGAGACACCCCAGGAGATTCTGCTCCCAGGTGGCGCCAGGAACGGAAGGAAGCTGCCTTTGTCCTCCCCTGCCACTGTCGGGCCCATGGCCTGACCAGCTGAGCTCCCTGCCACCACAAGGGGCAAGGAGGCAGAGACACATGGCCGGAGGCCCGATGCCGCAGGGCCAAATCTGGAACGCATGACAGGCAGGCAGCTCTGGGCCGCCGAAGGGCTGGGGTGGTGACCACACTAGCCAGGTTCCAGGCCCATGGATGACACTGCAGCCACCCTGGCCCGCAGGCTTGCCGGGTGGGACACAGGGGTGAGTTTCCCTGGCCCAGGCCCCCCACCCTTCTGTGCAGCCGACCCGGCCACCCGGCCTTCCAGAGCCCTTGCTGCGTGCTGACACAGCTGGAGCTCCCCTGCACAGCCCTGTCCTGCTCACCTGGGTTCTGTGCCAAGCACACAGTGCAGGATCCGGGCAGGGACAGACAGACAGGTGGGCATGAACCAGGCCAGGCATTACAGAGATCTGCTCAAAAGACCACTCTGCACCAAAAGGTTTTTTGTTTTTTTTTTTTTTGCTTACAGAAATGGTTACTTTCCATGAAAATATACTGTCATACAAAAACAGAATGGGCTTGTTATAGCTACTTTTATAGGACTAAATACATATATTTGAAATGTCTGTTTTCATTCAATGAATACCTAATAAGCCCCATAAACCAAAGTTCTCAGTGCTGAAGAGGCCCCCTCCTTGGTGGGGGAGCTGTGGGCCCCAAACCAGCCTCCCGCCAGCCGCCCAAAGGCTGGAGCCAGGGCCATGGTGTGGGCAACCTAGGTCCACAAACAAGATGGAACGCCCCCTAAGAGGGCAAAGTGACCAACACAGTGGCCCAGAGCCCCCAGCTGGGAACACAGCCCAGGCTGGGTCTGTCATAAGTCACTGAGTGTCACACGGGCCTCGGAGCAGAGGACCCAGTGGAGGGCCGTGTGCAGATATGGCCCCTCCCAGCAGCACCCACCCAACGTGGAGGTGTAGGAGGGTGTAGGCTCCCCGCCATCTGGGGAGCAGCTCAGAGCAATGCTGCAGTCCTCCTGCACATGCAGGGACTCTCCAACCCTTCAAGGTTTAGCACTGGGTTCCTGGCAGTGAGTTTGAGAAACTGAAGGAAAACGCCTAATAACATGAATGAGTCTCTTGGTTCTTAGTTGGACGACTAAATTCTTCAATGGTACACACCGTGACTTGTAGAATCAAACTGCAAATCAATACTACCAGGACGTCTTACTGACCAGAAAAGGCCACCTTTGGCTATGAACTCTCAAGGAGGGGTCACCCCCGCCCCAAGAGCAGAAACTCAGGGGAAGTGTGTACACCTGCCCTGGGGACAGGATAACACAGCCAGAGGTCTCGGAGTTCCAGGAGACACATCCTTCAGAGCCCCCAGTCCTGCTCTGCAGTGTGAGGGCAGGAGTGAGCACGCTCCCGCCACGGCAAACCCACAGGCACCCGTCGGGATGGCCACGGGCCCCCTGCACACCTGGGAGGGTCGTGGTCGGGGTGCTGGCTGGGCTGGAGGGCTGGGGGCAGGCAGGCTGAGGACCTGGACTCGGGGGCCACCATACGTGGCGAGGCCCCACCCGTTTACACCCTCAAGCTCCACAGCGTCTACGGAAGGAGAAGCAAACCAGCTCACTCCTGGCCTCTGTCTCTGGCCCAGCTGCCCAAATGGGAATGCTCCGCGGGTCTTGGCTGGGGCACAGCCTAATGGGTGGCTGAGCTGGACACGGCCATCCTAAGCACTCAGGGCACCCAGCTCCCTGTCGCCCCTCCCCTGCCAGCCCTGCTCCAGTAAGGGCGAAAGGTCTCTGCAGCTCCCTGACCCTGTCCTTCTCTTCTTCTGTTTTGAAAAGTTGCTAGCAGTTTATTTAAGAGAAACAGGAAGGAAAAATGCTCCCCGAATGCCAGGGAAATGTTTTCCCTCAGCTTCTCAGCAAATCTTCTCCTTAAAAGGCGACGTGTTCTCAGCCTCCTGGTGCACCACCAGGAGTGGCCAGTGCCACGCAGGGCCACAGTGTCCTGGGGACAGGGCGGGACAGACCCCCGTGACCTGGAGCAAAGGCACGGATGTCTCTGTCTCTCTTGATCTCTGTTACATACACAACTGCAGTGAGCACTTCAGGGGTCCCCTTGGCTGGTGTGGGGGGGGAGGCTGTTCCCTGGGGACAAGTGTGGACACACGCTTCTCAGGGACCTGTGGTCCCTTGGCCCAAGACAGCGAGGCTCCCACCCTTCCCCAGAGCATGGGAGGGCTCAGGGAGCCCAGGGGCTCTGCTGATGCCCTCAGATGCTCCACCAGGAAATGGGTGGGCAGGCCATTTCGCTCCCTGCCCCCTGCCCTTCTCCTGACCCTGGTCTCTGCTACTGAGTCACACGCCGACCTGTCAGAAAGCCTGACGTTGCCTGGAAGATGTCCTGTGCCTACAGCCCCAGGCATGAGGGACCAGCCCACGGGACACACGTTCAGCCTGCCCTGGTTCTGCTCTGCTCACCCCCCCCAAGTGTCCGTCTGCTGGGCAGGTTCTCCACTGCATCCAGGCCCAGTCTGACACCCGCCCCTGCCTCACCTTGACTCACACCTGGCTAGGACCACCCCTGAGCTGGCCACACACGCTGGGCCTCAGCTTCGGGGTCTAGAGGGTCCTATGACCACACGTGTAGGGATGGGGCCCGTGGGGGCCTGCTGTCCAGGAGCCATGTCACCAAGTGATGAGGACCACACATCAGAACCAGCCCAGGGGCAGCTGTTAGCGGAGCAGCAGCACGAACTGGCTTGGTGCAAGACGTGCCCGGGGTGACTCACAGGCCCCCTTGGGGATGCTGCCTGAGGAAGGGTGTGGCGCCCTCGTGCTGGCAAGTCCATTTCCAGGGGAGACTGGGAGCCCCTTTGGGCCGACTCTCCAAGGGCCAGGCAGGCAGCCGCGGGAGGATGTGGGCTGCGACGTGTGTGTGGTCAGAAGGCCTCAGCCTCCTCCCCCTTCTCCCCTGCTGCTGTCCGCACCTGTTGTCCTGCAACAAACTGGCCAAACAGGCAGGTGCACACCAGGCCCGCCAAGTTCCACTTCTCCAAGCTGAGCTCCCCTGTCCCCATCATCCAGGGCAGGCCTGGGACCCCTGGACCGCCGTGCAATTTGGGATGACCCCTGTGCCAGGCCCGGCAGAGCAGAAGTCTGTGGAGCCTGGTCATGGGGTCCTCTTTCCTTCAGTCCCATAGGCAGGCAGCAATGATGGGCACTGACCCAAAGGCGGCAGGACAAGGTGCAAGCCAGGGCCCCTGTGTGGAAGTGGTCCCGCAAGCCCAGCCACACGGGTCCCTCCCACCCCAGTTCTGTCCTGGCCACTGCCAAGCCACTTGGCCCCTCTGGGTGGCAGACGTGGCCCTGGCCCAGTCCCGCTCCTCTGCCACCAGCAGCAACAAAGCTGAGCTTTCAGAAAACGCCCTGTGGCTTCCAGGTGGAAGAGGCTACGTAACACCGTCCCTGTGGCCACACGGATGGAGGACACAAGACCCTGCGCCCCCGCCCCACAGGCAGCGAGCTCTGGAGCAGGTTCTGTCCAGCCAAGGCCCAGAGGGCTGCCCGGGGGCCACACGCCTGAGCTCCTCCTCTCTGGCTCTCCCCCCACACTGCTTGCTGGGACCCCCACAGCGGCAGCAAAAGTGGAGTCCCTGGCATGGAGCTGCACTGAAGGGGCCAGAGGGTGGACACAAGGCTGAGGCCTGCCACAGGGCCTGCTGGCACCTTGCAGGGCGGGGGGGGGGGGGGGGGGCGGTATGGCTACAGGCACACGCAGAGAACCTCCAACAGAACCCGACATGCTCCCTGGTCTGACGGGTGGGCTCCGAGGCCGGGACGCCCGTTTGGGAGGGGCCCAGGCCCCACCAAGAACATCTTCCTACTGTCTCCTCACCCTCCCCTGCTCCTGACGCCCGTACCACCTCCGCAGGAGTCCCCAGACCCCACACATGCTTGGCCTGACGCACTTTCTGTCCAATGTCACACCACCAGTCCCACCCAGAAGGCCCCTCAGTTGCTCAGTGTGAGCCGGCACCGACATGCAACCCACCCACGCCGAGCAAGGGGACACAAGGGTGGGGAGGGATGCCTGCCCGACAGTCAGCCCCAGCAGAGGAGTCTCCCCTAGGGACGCAGACACTCTGAGGGATGCACCTGCCCAGGAACGCCTGGAAACACTTGAGTGCCCCACGCTGATGCTCCCCGCCAAGAGCTGGCCCCCACGGGCAGACGTGTGGCTGTCAGGGAGCAGTCAGTAACTGTCGGGTTCAGAACACAGACGCCTCCTCAAGGCCTCGCCTTGCTGAGGCAAGGGGCTGGTGGTCCCCAGGCACAGAGCAGGGCCAGCTGCGCCCAGCGGGGGACGCACCGAACCAGGAGAAGAAACGGGCAGGATAGACGGAGACCCCCGCTGCCCACCACCCCCTGCTTCCTCAGAGTCCTGCTCAGCCTTCTGTCCACCCCCCGTCTGGCCCCTGCGGTGCTCACCGGATGCTAGCATCCCAGGACAGCTGCGGTTCTGGCCAGGAGTGAGGCAGGGCAGATGCAGGAAGTCAAGGGGAGTCAAGCTGACCGTGGAGGAGGTGGGCAGTGACAGGGGCGGCCCCGTCCGGAGGCAGCCTCATGGGATGGAGACCAAAGATCCGGGGGTGGGGGAGCAGGGTTGTGAGGAACCATGGATGCGTGAACAGTGGGCCCACGGCACGCAGAGGCCCCACAGGAAGGGCTCCCACGGAAACAGAGCCTGTGCTGGTGGTGGTCTGGGAAAGGAAGGGCCCATGGAGAGGGCGTCTGAGGGTGCCCACCCTCCCGGGTGCAGCCCACCGCTCCCCACAGCAGGCTAACGCAGGAGGGAGCTCCCGGGCCCAGGCCTGACCAGCGCAACTATCTGGGGTGGCGTGCTGGGTGCAGCAAGAGCGGCCCGTGGGTCCCGTGTGCACAGGACCCACCTGCTCCCAGGGGGCAGCAGGGCCCGAAGTCCAGGCTCCTCCTGACCTCCTTCCTAGGACACTGAGGAGAGCACAGGCTCCGCAGGGATTTCAGTGACAGCCCTGTCACCGGGGCGGTCAGGGCACACTTGGGCCCACCACCAGGGCCAGACATCTCCCTCAAGCCTGGGCCGAGTGAAAACACCAGGGCTTGGCAGCACTCCCAACCCCCAAGTTTCTGATGCAGCGGGCCTGGAGCGGGGCCTGACGACCACCTGACATGTGGAGGCGCCCCGCCTGCATCGCGTTCTTGCCACTCCTAGCACCCCGGTGTCACTGTACTCCCTCCTGTCGCAGAGCCTCGGAAACCAAAAGCTAGGAGGACCCCCCATGGGACCCCCAGCAACTCCCCACGGGCTACGGCCAGCTGGATGCTGTGGAGAAGGACGAGCAGGTCATTTCTCCTCCTGGTTTAACTGCCCTGCGGTCAGCACCCCCAAACAATGCATGCTTTCATAAGCCTTTGTGTCCCCTATAAAATGAGACCCACCAAGACGGAAGAAGCCAAGGCAGACTGAGAAAAGTACGCAGACCCAACGTCCACGCGTGTCAGGCGCTGTTGCGAGCTGTCTGACCCACAACTGGAGCCACAATGTGGCCACGATGCTCAGAGTTCGAATTTTACTTTCACTTCTCCATCGGTGAAGTGAGCGCTCTTCCTCTGACGCTGGGCGGAGAAGTCACCTCCGTCGTGAAGTCCTCTCAGATTCCCCCAGTAAGGAGGGCCTGGGCCTCCAGTCTCCCACAGCGGCACGCCGGTGCTCGGCCGGGTCGGTCTTGCCTCTGCCTTCTGCAGAACCCGCGTCAGCATTCGGCTCTCTCCCACCACACACGCACGCACAGACGTGCCCTCACCCACCGTGCACGCACCCACGGTTCCCTACACACTCCCAGTGACGGTCATCGTTCCTGGTTTGAACCCAAGACCTGGAGCAGAGCACCCACACCTTGCCGGCCGTTCTAAATCTCACACCCTAACATTACGAAAGGACAGCTTTGGCCAGCTAACAGGTGGGATCTCTGGTTTCCACTTAGAATTCACTGTGAGTCCTCCCGTGCGGCACGCAGGTGACCGGCTGTGGGGAAGGACCCCATGGAAGAGACAGGCAGAAACCAGAGGTGCCCACAGACAGGCTCCAGAACGGCCTCCGCCACTCCACGCCGACCACCAGCTGGGCCCGGCTTCCCCTCAGACCATCACACCAAGAGGCCTGCTTACTTTGGCTACAATTGGAAAAGCAAGAGACATTCACTTTCAATTTTAAAAATGACCCACTGAAGTCTCAGGCAAGTGCAAGATGTTCATACTGAAGGAAGCCAGATCTGAGTCTACAGTGTGACGCAGGCTCTGCCTGTGCTCCTGACTCCTGCGAGCACGGCTGTCCGGCGCCCCTCGGAGCCCATCTTTGGGGTCAGCCGGCCTGCTGCTGCAGCCCGCCGCCCCCACACCCTCCCACCAGCAGGCCGCACTCGCTCTACCCAGAGCCTGAAGCAGGCTTCTACTCACAGAACCGGCACTGGAGTGAGTTTCTCTAGACCCCTCTGCAGGTCAAGAAAGAAGTTAAAAAAGCTGTCAGAAGTGGCTTTTCTGGCAGCCCCCAGCCCCACAGCTATGGCCCACGTCAGGTCTCTGGACAAGGCCACTCCTGGATAGGCTCCGGTCATCCCACCTGGGGACAACGGGACACACACCCTGCCGCCCTGGCAGGCTTGGGAGAGGGCAAGGCAGGACTGCCGTGGCCACAGAAGTGGTTAACCACGAAGAGGGAGATGGGTCCCCGGTGGGCCCCCTGTCCTCATCCAGATCCTCCAGGGCCGCACTCCCTCAAGGAGCACGAGCTCCCTCCCACAAGCAACAGAAGTGCAGGCATTCAGGGAAAACCCGGCTCCAGACGAAGTTCCTGCCAAATCCAGCCCCCCACCCCCAGCAGCTGTGCACCGCCAGGACCTTAGCTGGGAGGCACGGCAATCACAGCCATTCCTCCCCAGGCTGACCTGGGGCAGGAACCAGGGACAGTCAGGCCGCCCCCACCGTCCCCTGCCCGGTTCACCTGAGCACTTGGCCGACTGCCTGGAGCACCATTTTGCAGCTGAGTCCAGTTTTGGGGGGCTGGCTGAGCAGAGCTCGGTCTGTGGGGAGACTGCTGTGATCTCCAAGCATGGTGGGGCAGTGCAGAGATGGGGCAGGAAAGTGGGAGCCAGGGCACCAGATAGCCGCTCCCTCCTTCCTCCCCTCCCTCGCTCCTTCCCTCCAGGAGACCAGCCAATGAGGACAGCAGGGGAAGAAAGAAGGACTCCGGCCTGGCAGAGACAAACAACTGCTCCTTTACAGGCAAAGGCTGGCCAAGTCTGGGTACAAGAGGGAGCGACGCAGTCGCCTTTTCAAAGTGGCGCCTTGCGGGCACTGTATGGGGTTAAGGCCACTGCCGAGGAGACGGACACCAGCCTTGGGAAGGACCCATCAGCAAGGCCCCGGGGTGGTACCACAGAGCAGGAAGCAGCGCTGCCCCAGGAGCTCGGGGCGGCCAGCACACAGCCCTTGCCCGAGCCCAGCCCAGCTGAGACGAGAAACCGGCAGGGGGGGGCTGGAGGCTAGCCGGGCGCAGACAGGCTAGCCACGCACCTGCAGAGCACGGACACGGGCTGGCCGCACACCCACACTGGGGCAGCCGTGGACAGGTAAGGCTGGCTGGCTCCCAGGGCGCCCCGAGCAGGCACTGAGCTGGAACTGGGCAAAGACCGCTCTTGGAGGGCAGCCCACAACGCCTTCCTGTGGGGGTACAGGAAGCTGAGCGCCCAAGGCCCTCTTTGCGGCCGTTGTAGACACAGGAGGCCATGAGGGACTGAAAAACGAAACGTCTCCAAGAGGATGGTGCTCTGCTCAGCCCTGGTTTCAGTTCTGACCACAGGGACCGAGTCAGCCCGTCCCCAGGCTCCTTGCGAAGCCCCGCCCAGCACAGAGCACAGCCAGAGGTCTGCCAGGCCCCTGCACCCATATGCCCAGGATCAGCTCTGCCCCCCACCCCCGAAGGCCACATCCCACAAAGGGCCCTACTGACCTTCTCATCTGTCCAAGCTCTACCCTACTCTGCAGGGACCACCCCAGAGCCACCGGAAGGACAGATCAACGTGCAACAGCACAAGGCAGCCTCTGCCTGCAACAGCGCTCCGGCCACCGGGGAGGCAGGACAAAAAAGGCCCCTTCTGTCCTGGCAGGACAGTGTCTCCGGGGCCACCCTGGGAGTCAGCAGGACTCACGTGCTGCTGCCCAGGGGAGAGGCGCTAGCGGGATGACCACACAGCCCCTGGCAGGTGAGATGCAGAGTCCCCGGGAGGGGAGGACCAGCCTGCGGGGCCCGCCGCACAGCACTAGAAGGTCGCTCCAGGCTCACCTTGTTCCACTGCCTGCCCTGGCATCAGAACCAGCTGTTTCTCCAGGAAGCCCTGGTCCCTTCTATTGGAGATGAAAACCTGACACTCGGCTGCTGGGTGGTACTCTCCTTGGTCCTCTCTGCTGACAGAGCAGGCAGGGAGACGCGCGCGCGTCAGGATACACCTGAATCCCCATCTCGGGGCCCATCTGTATCTGCATAACCCTGTGCACGATGCCCCCGACAGATCCGTCACCCGTGGATCACTCCAGCCTCCTCCCCTGGCTTGTCTATAACCTCCCCCCCTCCAACAGGGAGACACCTCTGAGGAGCCACCAGGGTCTGAATCACTTAGTCAAAACCACGGCAGGGGAGCTCCACGCTGTGAAGGCAGCAAAGCAAACGGGCCCAGCACCTTTATTAATGGTGCAGGCAAGTGCAAGGACAGCTTAAAAGCAAATGGGAAGGGGCGCCTGGGTGGCTCAGTCGTGAAGCGTCTGCCTTCGGCTCAGGTCGTGATCCCAGGGTCCTGGGATCGAGCCCTGCATTGGGCTCCCTGCTTGGCAGGAGGCCTGCTTCTCCCTCTCCCACTCCCCCTGCTTGTGTTCCCTCTCTCGCTGTCTCTCTGTCAAATAAATAAAATATTAAAAAAAAAAAAAAAGCACACGGGAAAAGCTTCGTGGCTGAGTCCAATGAAATAGAAGAGAACAAGACACAATACGCCCTCCATTGACAACCAAAAAACCCCAGAAAGACACATGCACAAGACAGATGAAAACTATAGCCCAACAAATTAGGCAATCTCAGAAATTAAGTGACTTAAAGATTTGAAGAGGGAGGCAAAATAACTCAAAAGAGGAACCAGAAATGAGAGCCCCTGGAATGCAGACTAAATCAGAAGGAACACAAAGCCAACATGGCAGGAAACACAGGATGGAAAGGAGGAGATTTTTGGATAAAAAAGGAACGAAGAGACATTCACTTGCATGATGACAGGGTGACAGGTCCCGGGCTGACCTCCACTACCAGCAGCTACTAACTGGGTGAAATACACAAAGCAATGGGTTTCAGATGCTGGACAACACACTGGTGGTTCAGGACAGTGCCCAAGAGCAGGGAACCCAAGGGTGAGCAGCAATCCACTGCCTGCTGGAGGCTGGGGTGTGGGAAGGCGAAGCCTGCGCAGGCCCTGCAGTCTCAGATGGAGGCAAGGATCAAAGCTGGGGCTGCTGTAATGTGCAGGGCAGTGAACCAGACGAGCTGGGCTGCCCAGAGAAGGGACGCCAGAAAGAAGGACAGAGCCAGTTAAGCCTCTGGCCAACCACTCGGATGGGGGCATGCAGGGCCCCTCCGAAGGCCTGGCAAAGAGCAGCGATGGGGAGCTGTGGAGGCTGTCAGGGCAGAAGACAGGCACCGCCCCTCCCAGAGTAGAGAGAGAGAGGGCACTCCACTGAGGCTCCACAGGACCTCCACTGAAAGCCTCGCCAGAACAGGGCTACAGCAGCCCCAGCGGAAGGTTTCTCTAGACCTGCCCTCATCAGGCTTCACCAAGCCTCAAAGAGTTCCTGCTGAACCAACAGCAAATGAACTGCTCACTGCAATAACCACAGACTCTTGAAGGAAGGACAATGAAAACCAGAGCTTTAATACACTTGCCACCACAATGTCTAACGAGCGCACACGCATGCACACACGTATGTGAAGGAGCAAAAAACGCTACCCACAGCCAGGAAAATAAGAGACAAAAGAAACAGACCCAGACACAACAAAGATGCTATAAGCAACAAAGACTTTAAAACCACAAGAATAAATACATTGGATGATTCAAGGATTGACAGGCAGTAGACCACTGAATGCTGACAATAATGAGACAGACAAGTTCTTTTACAAACGTAAGTTACCAAAACGGACACAAGAACAAATAGAAAATCTGAATTTATAATTAAGAACCTTTCTACAAGGAAATGCCAACAGCAGGTGGCTTTATGAGTGAATTCTACCAAATACATAGACGAAATAATACCAGGGGCGCCTGGGTGGCTCAGTCGGTTAAGCGTCTGACTCTTGTTTCAGCTCATGTCATGATCTCAGAGTCATGGGATCAAGCCCTGCATCAGGCTCTTCACTCAGCTGGGAGTGTGCTTGAGGGTTTGCTCTCCTTCTCCCTCTCCTCCCACCACTTGGGCACTCTCTCTTCTTCTCTCTCTCAAAAAAAAAAAAAAGAAAGAAAGAAAGAAAAGAAAAAAAGAAAGAATACCATTCTTACAAAAACTTTCCCAGAAAACAGATGAGGAAACACCACCCAGCTAATTTAATGAGGCCAAATAAGAACACCACAGAATAAGATAAATTACAGAATATCATCCATGAACACAGATGTAAAACTCCCTAAGAAAATATTAGCAAAAGAAATCCAGCAATATATAAAAGGAGTAGCAGATCATAACCAAGAGAGGTTCGTCCTCGGAATCTAAGCTTAGCTAACACTTGAAAAACAGTCAATATAATTCACTGTATTAACAGACTAAAGGGGAAAAGATGATCATCTCAATTAGATGTAGAAACAGTACATGGCAAAATGTTCATATACACTCCCAGCAAAAAAGTAATAGAAGGGGACATTCTCAACTGGAAAAGGGCAGCCACAAGAAAAATCTAAAGTTAAGGGGCACCTGGGTGGCTCAGTCGGTTAAGTGTCTGGGTCTTGATCTCAGCTCAGGGTCTTGATCTCGGGGTCGTGACTTCAAGCCCCATGGGGCAAAAGACCAGCACACTTTACCAAGGAAGCTATTGGAATAGCAGATAAACACAAGGGAAACTGCTCAGCATCACTGGTCGGTACGGAAATGCAGATTAGATCCATCTCCGAAGAGATGCCACTAGGCTGGCTAAAATTAAACACACTAAGAACCCAAGTGTGGGTAAGAAGGCAAAACAACCAACACTCTGACACACTGCTGGTGAGAGCAGACAACAGTACAACTACTTGAGAAAAGAGTCGGAAGTTTGTCATCAACGTGTCATCTACGCTATGAACCAGCAAGTCAGAGCCTACGTATTTACCCAAGAGAAACGAAGCCGACGTTCTCACGAAGGTACACAAGAATGTTCCCAGCAGCACAACTCCAACAGCAAACACTGCAAACAACCCCAAAGTCCACCAACAGAAGAACAGACTGACTACGGTCTATTCATACAACGAATACTACTCAGCAATCAAACGCCGAACATCACTGATAAGACGCATCATGTGCTCAACCTCACAGACATCATGCTGAGAAAAAAAATGCCAGAAAGAAAATCGTAGGTCCATACGGTTCCATTTATGTGAAGTTCTAGAAAAGGTGAGGTTGATCTTCGACGAAAAGAAATCAGAATGGTGGCTGCCTCTCAGGAGGGGAGCAGCAGGGAAACGGTGAGGACAGAATTTTCTGGGCTTGGGGGTGTAAAGCACAGGGTGTTCACATCGTCAAGACTCAGCTAACTGTACACTTGAGATCTGTGCATTATACTGTCTGTAAATTACACACCAATTTTAAAAGACTGAAAGTTTTTATAAAGGAAGGTAAAGCATTTTAGTGAAAGCAGTAGATGAACTGAAAGACTCGACACTGCACAGTGAACGGGCCCCCATCAAAGCACAGCTGCCCACGGAGGACTCACCATCGATCAGTGCACTTGGGACACTGAAAAACCCTTCCAGAAAACCACTAGAGCCTGCCAGGGAAGCTGTATTTTCATCAGACTCCCAGTGATGCTTTCCATCAGAAGGCTGTTGTTACAGAGAGAATGCGTGTGTGTCCCCCACCCCCCAATTCCTACACTTAGGTCCTGCCAGTGGGGTAGTGTCTGGGCGTGTGGCCTCTGGGGGGTGATGAGGGGTGAATGACATCATGAAGGTGGGCCCCACGATGGGATTGGTGACCTTAAAAGGAGAGAAAGGGATCTCCACCCCCCCAGCCCCCCAACACACCCAAATCAGCCAGGACCCTGATGTCCGACTCCAGAACCGTGAGACTAAAGAAAGGGGTGTTGTCTATGTTACCCGTCTGTACTGTTCCGTTCTGGTGGCCTGAGCTAAGACAGCTAAGTGTGGTCAAAGAGGCACAAGGAAAGGAAAGGGGAGCCGAAGACTTCTCATCTATCCAAAGTGTCTTTCAAGTCTAAGTTCTCAGCTGGGGTGATACTACCCCAGGGAACACTGGGTAATATCTGGAGACGTGGGCCAAGGCCAGGGCAGCGCCCCCCCCCCCCCCCCCGCCCCAAGAATCACCCGGCCGCACACGTTGATCCTGCAGAGGTGAACAAGCCTGCGTGCAGGTGCAGACAGGAGCTCAGGCCCCATGGTGCCCACCAGGCCTCTCTGCACTTCCATCACAGCTTCTCAAGCTGCTCCCAGACTAGCAGCAGTAGCATCTGGGAGCCTGCCCGAAATGCCAGTTCTCAGGTCCTCCCAGCCCCACCAGCCGGACACTGCAGTGAAGCTGGCACGTGGGTGAACAAGCTCTCCTATGGTCGACTTCCCTCTCTTCCTCTTTTTTTTCCTTCCCCTATGCTCATCTGTTTTGTTTCTTACACTCCACATATGAATGAGATCATATGATCACTGTCTTTCTCTGACTGATGTATTTCACTTAACATAATACCCTCAGAGCTCTGATTCAGGCTCTGTGTTCAACTCTGACTCTGCTTGTCCCTCTCCCTCTGATCCTCCTCCCGCCCAGGGGTGCATGCTTTCTCTCTCAAATAAATAAATAAATACAATCTAAAAAAATAAAACCTCGGGGTGCCTGGGTGGCTCAGTCGGTTGAGCGGCTGCCTTCGGCTCGGGTCATGATCCTGGGGTCCTGGGATCGAGCCCCACGTCCGGCTCCCTGCTCAGCGGAGAGCCTGCTTCTCCCTCTTCCTCTGCCTGCCTCTCTGCCTACTTGTGCTCTCTGTCAAATAAATAAATAAAATCTTAAAAAATAAAAATAAAAAAAACCTCTCTAGTTCCATCCAAGTCATTGCAAATGGCAAGATTTCATTCTTTTTGATGGCTGAGTATTATTCCATGTAAATACACACACACACACACACACACACACTACATCTTCCTTATCCATTCATCAGTGGATAGAGACTTGGACTGTTTCCATAGTTCGGTTATTGTTGATAATGCTGCTATGAACACTGGGGTGCATGAGCCCCTTCAAAGCTTTATTTTTGGAACCTCTGGGTGAATACCTAGTGGTGCAATTGCTGGGTCATAGGGCAGCTCTATTCTTAACATCTTGAGGAACCTCCATACTGTTTTCCGGAGTGGCTGCACCAGTTTGCATTCCCACCAACAGTGTTAAGAGGGTTCCCCTTTCTCCACATCCTCTCCAACACATGTTGTTTGTGTTGTTCATTTTAGCCATTCTGACTGGTGTGAGGTGGTATCTCAGTGTGGTTTTGATTTGTATTTCCCTGATGATGAGTGAAGTTGAGCATCCTTTCCTGTGTCTATTGGCCATCTGGATGTCTTCTCTGGAAAAGTGTCTATTCATGTCTTCTGCCCGTTTCTTAACTGGATTATTTGTTTTTTGGGTGTTGAGTTTGGTAAGTTCTTTATAGATTTTAGATATTAATCCTTTATCCCGTATGTCATTTGCAAATATCTTCTCTCATCCGTAGGCTGCCTTTTAGTTCTGCTGATTGTTTCCTTCGCTGTGCAGAAGCTTTTATCTTGAAAACTCAATAGTTCATTTTTGCGGGGCGCCTGGGTGACTCAGTCGTTAAGCGTCTGCCTTTGGCTCAGGTCATGATCCTGGGGTCCTGGGATCGAGTCCCACATCGGGCTCCCTGCTCGGCGGGAAGCCTGCTTCTCCCTCTCCCACTCTCCCTGCTTGTGTTCCTGCTCTCGCTGTCTCTCTCTCTGTCAGATAAATAAATAAAAAAATCCTTAAAAAAAAAAATAGTTCATTTTTGCTTTTATTTTCCTTGCCTCCAGTGACATGTCTAGTAAGAAATTGCTAGAGATGAGGTCACAGAGGCTGCTGCCTATGTTCTCCTCTAGGATTTTGATGGTTCCTGTCTCACATTTAGATCTTTCATCCATTTTGAATTTATTTAAAAGATCAACATTTCTAAACAATCTTTTTTTATTGTGGCAAAATACACATAAATGTACCTGTCTTCACCATCTCTAAGAGCACAGCTCAGGGGCGTTAAGCACATTCACAATGTTGTACAGCTGTCCTCACCAATGGTGACAACTTCCCATCTTCCCAAATGGAAACTATCCTCATGAAATACCGACTCCCATCCCTCCCCCGGCCCCGGCGCCCACCGTCCACTCTCTGTCCCCCTGAGTCACCGACCCCCGCCCCTCCCCCGGTGCCCACCGTCCACTCTCTGTCCCCCTGAGTCACCGACCCCCATCCCTCCCCCGGCCCCCACCGTCCACTCTCTGTCCCCGAGTCACCGACCCCCATCCCTCCCCTGGTGCCCACCGTCCACTCTCTGTCCCCGAGTCACCGACCCCCATCCCTCCCCTGGTGCCCACCGTCCACTCTCTGTCCCCGAGTCACCGACCCCCATCCCTCCCCTGGTGCCCACCGTCCACTCTCTGTCCCCGAGTCACTGACCCCCATCCCTCCCCCGGCCCCAGCGCCCACCGTCCACTCTCTGTCCCCGAGTCACCAACCCCCATCCCTCCCCCAGTGCCCACCGTCCACTCTCTGTCCCCCTGAGTCACCGACCCCCGCCCCTCCCCCGGTGCCCACCGTCCACTCTCTGTCCCCAAGTCACCAACCCCCATCCCTCCCCCGGTGCCACCGTCCACTCTCTGTCCCCCTGAGTCACTGACCCCCACCCCTCCCCTGGCGCCCACCGTCCACTCTCTGTCCCCCTGAGTCACCGACCCCCGCCCCTCCCCCGGCGCCCACCGTCCACTCTGTTCCCTGTGAATCTGGAGACTCTAAGGACCTCATGTGGGGGGAATCCTGCAGTACTTGTCCCTCTGTGTCTGGCCTATCTCACTCAGCATCACGTCCCCCAGGTCCATCCACGCTCTGGCAGGTGTCAGCGTGTCCCTCCATGTTCAGGCTGAGTGACGGTCCGGTGTGTGGATGGACCACGTTTATCCGCTCGTCCGTCGACGACGCTTGGGCTGCTTCCCTGTGTCGGCGGCTGTGAACGTGGGTGTGCAAGCATCCACTCGCGTCCCTGCTTTCGGTTCTCTGGGTCAATACCTAGAAGAGGAATCGCTGGAACACATGGTCACTCCATTTTCAGCTGTTTGAGAACCGCCACGCCGTTTTCCACGGCTGCTGCACCGGCTTCCTTTCCCGCCGAGTGTGCGGGAGGGTCCACCCTGCACGTGCTCCCACTCGCGGGGTTTCTGCTTTCTGTGCTCCTCTTGTGGGTATGGTTGGCGTGGAATGGGCACAGGGGGTTGGTATGGCTGAGAACAGGCTTTGAGGTGTGGAGATGCAGATGAAGGGGAGGTCCTGAACCTGGATTTGAAGGACCCAGAAGAACTCACGGGTCCTCTACACTCACACCTTTTCTACCTCTGTCCACTGAGAAGGCCAAGAAAACATAACCAGCTCAGAAACGGAGGGCACACCTGATGTCCAGACTGTGGCCTCTACACGTCGCTGCCCCTGCGGCAGCCAGGCGGGTTCCCGAGCACGGATTCCAGGTGTGTACCCTGCTGTCAGGGGAAAGGACTGCAACGGTGTCTGACGCCAGGAGGATCACCGTCACCATGACTCAGGGCTAGCCTGAAGACATTCCATGGCCAAGGGTGGGGCAATTTAAGGATACAGGGAAGGACAACAACCCAACCCTTGAAACAGAGGTGTTCAAACCTTTGTCTAACGGTACTTTTCTTCACAAAAACACTTCGCTGTTTACCTTTGGAGGATGGCAAAGAACCAACGCCTATTCTGAAGGACAGTCAATGAAAGGACAGAGTGAGCACTTGTCCCGCTCCTCAAGGAGCCTGCTTAGTTGAGGAGGGCAAGGTTTTCCTTACGCAAGTATTCCATCGGACCAGCGGGGAAGGGAGGCTACGATGGGGCCTTTGTAATGCCAACAAAGGAGTGATTCTGGGCAGCGGTCGAGAGTCCGCAAGCAAGTCACAGACAGCCCGAGAGCACAAGCCTCCGACTGGAGGGACACCACCCCCGCCGAGGAGTCTTACCCCCAAAGAAGAACTCCATCCAACTAGTGTCTCGGGATAGCTGACAACTTACAGGACACACGGAGGAATGTGCTGAACTCTCCCGCGGGGTGGCTGCTGGGTCTCCTCCACGGGCCCACAGGGAGAACAGAGACGGCGGAGGGCCTGCGGACTGAGACTCGCCAAGTCTGCAACCTAGTCAACAGTGCTGTGCCAACATCACCCTCTTACACCGCAGTTGTGTGCGGTGTCACCACGCAGGGGCTGGCTGAATGGGACACTGGATTCTCCGGGCTGCTTTTGCAATTTCTTGTGGGTTTATAATCATTTCAAAATACAAAGCTAAAAAAGAATTATAAAACCTGTCATCGAACTGCAACATACGGAATTTCCTTGAATCCATGAACACTGATTGGATATGTAATGTTATTACAAGGACTGCTGCTCTGATACGATAACAAAATGCTCTCTGTTTAAGGAAAAGCATTCCTGTCCTGTCACGGCTCCAGAATTTGCTTCAGAGTAGCTCGGGCGATGGGGTGAAGGGAAGAGAACAGGAAGATTAGGGTCTTACTGGGTGTGAATGCGGAACAGAGCTTAGAGCCCACATGCCCACTGAAACCACACCCTTAACTACACACTCCTCATTTAAATCTGGACATGAACCCAGCCTCCAGCCAAGAGACAGACCTGCTCGTGAACACCCGGGCTCATGGCGTCCTTGGCAGCACCCTCCCTCAGTGTGCGGGGGCTGCCTTGGGACAGTCAAGCCCCGGGCCGCAGTGCATGATGATGTCACACACGGTACAGCAGAGCCCATGTGAGTGTGAACTGGCGTGCGAGGAGTCAGGTCCACAGCGACATCCCTGGAGAACCAACAGAGGCACCGCTCGGCCAGGTCAGGAATGCCACACTCTTGTCCACGGTGACGGAAAGCATGTCTTCCTCCTCGCATCTGCACGGACAGCAAGGGCTTCTGGCTCTGCACGTGGGGCCTTCTAGGGGGACGTGGGGCACACAGGCACGTGGCAGGGGTGAGGGTGCTCCCTGGATCCCTCCAGGCATGGTCTGCACTTGGCCAGTGGCACCACTGGCTTTCACAGCAAATGGAAGGGGGCACTTTGTGGGGCAAACTCATACTTTTAAAGCAAAGTCTAAGAACAACCAGTGGTGACTATCCTGACTTCCCCAGAACTGCCCAGCAGGAGGGAGGGAGGCATGTCTCTGCTGCCGAGACCCTGTCCTGTCTCCTCACACCCAGGCCCACCTCTGCTTGGCCTGGGTGGGGACTTCCATTCCTCCAGAGGAGGCACGAGGGAGACGAGTACCCTCTGGAGTTGTCCCTCTAACCTGCGTGGGTTGCAAGTCAAGTCTTGCTCTGCACGTGTGTTCCAGGAGCTTCTGGAAACCCAGCAGTCCTGACTTGGGCAGGTGCTCCATGGTGGCCCTGTGCTGTGGCGGGGGGGGGGGGGGAAGCCGGCGGTCCCACCAGGCCTGGCACTGTGATCACCGCGTGGCCGGGGGACGTGACTGGAAGCTCAGTGGGACCACAGGGCAGCCAGTGTGCACCCCACCCCCAAACGCACACGTCCCACCAAAGGAGCGAACGGAAACAGGGCTTTCCCATGCCAAGGGCTGCCCTTCTCTGCCACCAAAGGGCCCACTGCTTTCACACGCTGAAGAAAGCAAGTCTGGGGAACTCGGTTTTGCTAAGTGTGCGCACCTTTCAAACCAGAAGGTCCTCAAAACACAACTTCCAATCAGGGCATCCACCCTGGTCAAGGTGCAGTAACAGGGACCGGACTTTACCTCCTGCCTGAAACAACAGGACACTGGATACAATGTGTGACGGCTTTCAAGACCCCAGACAACAGAGCATAGTGACCCTGGGGACGGGAGCTGACAAGGGAAGCCTGCACCACAGGCAGAAGCCCAGGGGGGCCCTGAGTTGACCAGTCTCCACTGGGAGGCCGGGGAGGCCAGAGCAGCCAGAGGTTGAGGGGCAGGGCACCCAAGAGGAGAGAGCTGCACGGATGTGCTCAGGGCCCCAGGGGGTCCTTGGCCGAGCACTGGCTGGGCTGTTTGTAAGGGAACTACCGAGGGGTGGTATGAGCCCCCTGGGAGGGGTGGAGGGACAGTCCTCGAGGCTCACGTGGGGGCTGGAAGGAGTCCCTTCGCCGCTGGTCAGAGTGGAAAAACTTGGCCCATGGTGTCAGATGTAATACTCGAGAAGGTGTGGATCAGCAGTGAGAAGCATTAGCTCTCCGTGGAACAGCACCATAACCCCAGCAAATGGAGAACACAGGCAAGAACTGAAGATGAGCAACCGTTTCCAAAAGGAGTCCAAGCAACACAGCTCAGGAATAGCTATAAACGTACAAAAACATGCAGACCAAAAAAGGCAGAGCTCACATGGTCTTTCATCTAGTCGGGAATGCCAAGCCTTCAAGGAAGGAGGAAAATGCAACCCATTGTTAAGAGTCAAGCAATCGATGGAAAAGGACCCCAAAATGGCCAGATGACAGAAGATGAAGACAACATGCGAAGCTCAGCACAGCTGTGTCCCCACCTGCTCCAGAAGCTGCAGGAAACACTGAGCATGTTAGGGAGAGACAGGGAAAACTTGCTTTAAGATCCAAATTGAGGGCACCTGGGCGGCTCAGTTGGTTAAGCGACTGCCTTCGGCTCAGGTCACGATCCTGGAGTCCCGGGATCGAGTCCCGCATCGGGCTCCCTGCTCGGCGAGGAGCCTGCTTCTCCCTCTGACCCTCCCCCCTCTCATGCTCTCTGTCTCTCATTCTCTCTCTCTCAAATAAATAAATAAAATCTTCAAAAAAAAAAAAAAAAAAAAAGATCCAAACTGAATTTCTGGATAGGATTAACAGCCAACCGAACGCAGCAAGAGCAAGGACGAATGAACCTGAAGACGCAGCAAGAGAGGCTTCCCAAAATGGAAACTGGGAAAAGGCTCTGAAGCAAGGAGCAGCCCCCCCACCCCCCGTGAGCCCACACCGCCCAGCAAGCCGCTTGGGGACAAGCTGCAGGCCGAGGGACACCCTCTTAAAGCACATGTCTGACAGAGGACTTGCATCTAGAAGGTTTAATGCCCCCCATGACTCAACAAGAAGACCAAACCCAGTAGGAAACAGGCAAGCGGTCTCAGCAGACCCCCCTCACCACAGGAGCAGAGTCGGCACAGATGAAGCGCTGGAGGTCATTAGGTCCTGAGGAAAGGCGGCGTAAAACCACACGAGCCACGGCCTCGCTCCCCTCGAAGGGCCACGACTGTGGAGCCTGCGGGCACGCGCCCGGGGCTGACCAGGGGCGAACTCCGGGACTCCCATTCGCGGCTGGCACCGGGGTCGGGGGCGTGATCGCCGCACAACACGGCTCAGCAGTTCCTTAAAATGTTCAACGTACGTGTCGTTCGACCCAGACCCTCCAGGGAAGAGAAGGCATGTGTCTGTACACAGACCTGTGCGCACGTGGGGAAACAGCCCCCACGGCCCCCGGCAGGTGGACAGATGGACCGGCTAGGCCTGCCTGTGCCAGAGTCCCACCCGAGGACACGGACGACGACCTCCCGACACACACAACAATGTGGGCAATGGCAAACTCACGCTGAGGGGATTTCGCTCACTAAGCGGCCGCAAAATGTCACTAATCCGTAACGAGAGAAGCATGCCGGGGTTGCCTGGAAGGGGCTGATGGGTGGGTCCCCGTCCTTGACTGTGGAGAGGGCCCTGTGGCTGTTGGCTGTGCACACGCACGGGAACACGTACAGGCCAGTGTGTGTCAGGTACGGCCGGCAGACCTTGGCAGCTCCCGTCCATGCTGACGGGCACCGTACGTACACTCAGCCTGCCCTTCCAGCGTGGCCCCTCCTGGCTCCTCAGGAGACCCGTGCTCCACTCTCCCGGCTCCCGCCACACCCGTCCGCCAGCAGGGCCTCCGGGCTATCTAGAGCGCATCGGCCCAGCCGCCCTGGCGGAAGCCCCCCTTGCTCTCACTGCAGGACGGCAGCGGCCGACGGGTCTCCCTCCTCCCTCCCGTGCCCCTCCGGTCTGTTCTCTCTGTCCCAGGATGCTGCCCGGGTGCTCAGTCACCCACACGAGGCTGGATGGCAACTCTAAACACACGCACCTGCCTGGAAGGGAGCCACATCCCCTAAAACACCATGTCGCCCCACAAGAGGGCTGATGCAGAAGGACACCCGCATTAGAGTGCCTGCCTGGGGCCAGGGTCCTCAGGGGAAAGGTGTACTGTCCATCTGAAGTAAGCGGACTCCAGCTGAAGGCAGCAGAAGGCCCAAGGCCGGAGGCGTTAAGTGCCCGTGATTCCCGCTCTGGGTCAGGCACTGCGACACGCAGCCAGCCCCCCCACCCCACCCCTGCGTCCTCCAGCACAGCTGCGTGCTGCCCCTGCCTCCTCCCGGTGCTCGGCCAGGAGCCTGGCCCCTCTCCTGGCTCCTGCAGGTTGCCTCCGCCCCCAGTGCCTCCCCAGGCCTGGAGCAGCAGGGCCCAGGCGCCCCAAGGGCACCACCACACCGTGCCAGCACCACGCAGATGTCCCCTGGTGCAGCATCCAGGCCTGGCCAGGGGCCTGTGCGTGCTCGCTGCTCCCTCCACGATGGGGGACACGGGGCGGCCACAACAGGACAGTGATTCTGTCTGCAAACGTGCTGGGCGCCAGGAGGGAGCGAGGGCGCTGGGTGGGCGCCACCCTCCCCCCCGCCCCTCCCACAAGTGTGGACAGAGGGCCAGTCTGTGCCGGGCTGGGCTGAGCCGCACAGAAATGCGTGGCTGGCTCTGCCCGCTCCCAGGAAATGCCAGATCGGGGGGCTGGGGTGCGTGCTGCTTCCTCAGCGCTACGTTCCATACCCGGAGAGCGTGCCTGGCACACGGGGGGCACAAAAAGAACATGTGTGGAGAGGGGCGCGCCGGCCAGCCCGCTGTTAAATACGGAAGCGAGGACAGAAAAAGGTCTTTCTGATGTGGTCCTTCTGGAGAAGACCCGCACCCCATCAGGGCTCTGCTGCCTGCCACCGAAAACCCCAATCCCCCCAACTGCACACAGACCCACGCGTGTGCATTCTGCCCGCCACCAACCTGAGGCCTTGCAGGCCACCGTGAAAGCCTGTCCTCCACAGGACTGCCACAGGGAGGAAGACCTGACGTTCAGCCCCGGAAGAATCCAGGCGTAAGCGGCGGCCTCCTCGGTGTCCGCACACCCCTTTAACTGCACAGTGACTTGGACAGGACAGCATGTGTGTTGCTTGCCAATGTGGGGAAGGTGGCTTCACCCCCACATGCCCTGCGAGCTCCTGGGGGTGGGGGGCTCACCTTTGTGAACACTGGCATTCTGACCCCTGGCGCGCTCTCCAGGAGCCAACACCTACTAAAGGCAGCAGACACGTGGCCAGGCTGAGGGTGCCCTAAGCACCGAGCAGAGCGTTACTGCATGCTGGCAGCGGGCTTGCTGAGGCCCCCCCGGCTCCTCCACACCCACAATGCAGCCTCAGGCCAGAATACTGCTCCCCAGCAAACGGGACCACCTCCTCAGGGAGCCTGTCCAAGGAGTGCGCACGGCTTAGGTGTGGTACGTGAGAGAGAGAGAGAGAGAGAGAGAGAGAGAGAGGCGCACTGTCCACGCCCACAGGCTCTGCACATCCATGCCCTTCACTCAGTCCATAAAGGTGCACCAGCGCCTAGCGGAGCTCTGAGTGGGGCAGTGAGTGAGCTCACCTAGCCCCGAGCACACATGAGCACCCGACCCCAACATGCTGTGGGCAAGGGTCCAGATGGGTGAGGGCTGAGGGAAGAGGAGTCAGGAGGGCAAGGAAAAGAAGAATCTGTGCAGGGAATAGCCCATGCAGACCCCTGGAAAGGACGGTGTGCAGAGGAGAGCCATGTGGAGAGGGCTAAAGAGACAGGGGGCAGTGGGGCTGAGGTCTGAACTGTGCCTGAGGCATGTGGGAACCCCTGAAGGGTGCGAGTGGGAGAGCCATGAGCAGAGGCCTGACCTGTGTGGAGAAGGCGGGACGGCCAGTCTGGGATGGGCTGGCAGGCGGCCCGGGGCATGGCAACAGGACGAGAGGGGCAGAGGACAGGAGCGGATGCAAGTGCAGGGCTCAGGTGACAGGGCTGCCCCCAGGCTGCCACAGAGCCGCCCAGAGGCCCTGGGTGACCATGGTGCTGGAACTGTCACCTCAGGTGACATCTGTCTGCCGTTGTGTGGAGGCACGGAACCCTCGGCTCGGTCCAGCGGCCCTGACAAGAGCCCCGTCCAGCCCCGAAGACAGGGATGCAGCAACCTGTCCAGGCACTGGTCAGCGGAGCAAGGCCCCCAGAGCACGAGGGCGCGCTCAGCCAGCACCGCCTAGACGAGGCCAGCCCCGTGCAGTTCCAAAGGCGGGTGAGCCCCTCCACGGGTGGAGAACCTTCTCACACTCAGACGTCTCAGGCCACCCAGGCCAGGGGCACCGAGCCACCAGAGCTGCCTCCTTGCTGTCCCACTGCTTTGTTCCCAAGTGAGGGCTGCACCCGGCAGGAGAAGAGGCCCCACCTGACGAGCCTGGCTGGCGAGGACCATTCCTCACAAGCCTCGCGCTTGGAGGGAGCACTCTCAGGAAGAAATCCAGAACGGGCGGCCACCGACTTCAGCCCCACAAGAAAGAAGCGCCTGCTCACCAGACCTTTCGGACAGGTGGCTCTCCCTCCTTCCTGGTTATCAAAGGGCCTGTAGGAAAGGAGGCACCTCTCAGGGAGAGAGAGGAGCTGGGTATTTCAGAAAACACGCATTCTGCCTTGGACCTTGGTTCTACGGACCGCAGCGGCCTTCGAAGCAGGCAGATCCCACCGTCAGCAGCTGGAGGCATAGACACCATGGCACAGAAAGGGGCCCTCGAGCAGGGAAAGAGTGGGGGCTTCTCCCCAGTGTCTCCGGGGGCACAGGCCAGCCTAGGCCTGCTGGAAGGAGGGAGCAGGGTTCAGAGAAGGGTTCTGACGCCCTCTCCCGCTGCTCCAGACCTGTGACCCTGCCTGCCCTCTCGGAAACAAGGCGAGTCACGATATATAGTTCAGGGCACGCTGGCATCCTGGGTGAGAGAACCTGTACGGCACTGAACAGCAACGGTGGAGAGCCCCGAACCCCCTCAGAGGCCTGGAAGGCCAGAGACAGGATTATCACTATTTTTAGATCCAGAATAGCTGGCATAATGCTGGCTCCCAGAAGGAGCCCAGGCAAAACAACAGAACATCTGCACATCAGAACTCTCCGGGCACTGCCCCACGTGCATGATCTCAACAGGTCCTCCTAACCCACCGAGGCGACCAGAGTGGATACCTTCATACCCCTTTTACGCCCAGAAAACCCACGATGAAGAAGATCCATACAAACCCCTTAAAGACATTATATAGGGTAGATGCCGGGTGCATGAACACAAAAATGTCTCCGCAAACCCCCAATCAAGTGGACCAAGAAAGTTTTCCAGCCATTAATCCTGTGTCTACTGCTTTTCTCTATGTAAGACAAGAGTCTGGACTGTCCAGCCCACACGAGGACTCCTCCAGAGGCCACGTATTGCAAAGCAGTGTATATGTATTTGCATATGAGTGCCCAAGTGTGTATCTGTGACTGTGTGTGTGTATGCGTGTATATGATTACATGTGAGTTCTGTATGCGTGTGAGTGTGTACTTGTGTGTGTGTGTGTGACTGCATGAGTCGTGTGCGTACACACGTACAAATGTGAGTGTATGTAGGTGGGTGTGCATTCCATGCGAGTTGTGCGAGTGTGTATGTGGGCAGCTGTACGTACGGCTCTATGTAAGTTGTGCGTGCACGCATGGGACCACTAGGCAACTGTGCTCCTTTCTCCCTAAGGCTCCTGCCCTCACCTCCCCAGCCGTGACCCCTGCGCTGCTGGGCCACGCCAGCCCCCGACCACGCCATTAAGAGCAGGAGCTCACAGGCACCTCACGGCTGAGGCACTCTGGCCCTCCTCGACTCTGTCTCCGGACCTTCCGGGTTCTCACTCGTCAGCCCCCAGAGGCGCCGCCCTCACCACCACGGTCAACCCCCACCGTTCTCCTCGCTCTCTGCAAGCACACAGCTTACTGGTCATGCCCCTCCCCCCATGGCCACACCAGGACTCACATCAGGAAAGCCGGGCACCACCAGGTTTGTGGATGGCCGTGTCCCAGCACCAGGAACACGGTGAGGACGCGAGCACTTTCTCACTTCTCCCGTGAACTGTTTCATTGGCTAGGACTTCATCTTGTCATCTTCCCAGGGAGCTCTTAACACAACCTGCAGACAGAGTTCGATGACTGATGCCTCTGGCATGAGGACATGCTCCTGACAGCCTTCCAGCTGAGATGAAGGGTCACTACCATGCTAACTTCACCCGACCCTTTGTCTGCTTTCCTGGCATTTCTGTCCAACTGGCACAAGAAGCAATAAAATTTTCAGGGGCGCCTGGGTGGCTCAGTCAGTTGAGCATCTGCCTTCAGCTCAGATCATGACCCCGGGGTCCTGGGATCGAGCCCCACATTGGGCTCCCTGCTCCGCGGGAAGCCTGCTTCTCCCTCTCCCACTCCCCCTGCTTGTGTTCCCTCTCTCACTCTGTCAAGTAAATAAATAAAACCTTGAAAATAAATAAATAAATAAATAAATAAAAATTTCAAAACACTGGATGAGCCCTGATGTCCCTGTAAAGACAAGGGACCTGGCAACCAGGCTCCTGGCTGGCTCAAGTGTTTCCATTGCCGGTATATCCACATCCAAAGAGGGTGCAAAAAACAGTTTCAGAGAATGGATCCATAAAGCCCAAAAGCATACGCAGTGAAACGGCTGGTGTCAGAACTCCTCTCCCCTTGCCTCCCAGCTTCGCTGTGTGCACACCTGCTACCTTGAGAAGGACACAGAGACAGACAGGTGCTCGCACCCAGCCTGGCACCCTGCCTGCCTGACCCTGGCCCCCCTGGAGCTTGCATGACACACAGAAAGGAGCACGGGCCAGCTTGGAAAGTCTTCTGGGAAACAGCAGGAGCAAGACCTCAGTGTCACACGCAGAACAGCCAGCGCAGTCCCTAGAAGACAATGACGGATGAGCCACAGACTGGAAGAGAGGATGAGCAAACTGCAAAGCGACACAGGACTTTCGTCCACAGCAGATAAAGCACTCTCAAAACTCTAAAATAGAAAGACAAACTACCCCATTAAGAAGTGGGCAAGGGATTTGAGAAGACACTTTCCCCAAAGAAGGAAAGGAGGGCTGAGAAGCACGTGAGCAGCCGCTCAGCATCAGTCAGCAGGGAAACCACAAGACAGCACCCCACTCCCACAGGCTGGGGGGTCCGTGTGCTTACGAGGGCTGAGGAGGCCACTGAGAGGCGAGCGCTGCTGGCGGGAGCGGAAGGGGCGGGAGCTTCAGGAGCAATGCAGTCCTCCCCGCTCACGCGTGCACCTCCCATGCGACCCAGAAGGTCTACGGCCTCTGCGGGAGAGACGAAGACGGGATCGGGACGGTTCACGGCAGCGCTGCTGGCGATCGCCAACTGCTGAAAGCGACCCAGACGCCAACAACGGCAGGCGGCTAAGCAAACTGTGTCTTAGCTGCAGAAGGGGCTACAGCTCAGCCACGACAAGGACCGCAGCACAGACACACACAACCACCCGACGGGCCTCAAAGCATCAGTGCCATGAGCGAGGCAGAGCCCAAACGCTCGACACTCTGCGATCCCGTGGACACGAATCGTAGCAAGCACAGAACAACCGTGCTGGGGAGAAGGGCAGTGGTGGCCAAGGGTGCGGCAGAGGGGCATCGAATGTTCCACGTCGTCACTGTGGGGGGAGGGGGTCCGACAGCGACACACGTCTGTCAGAGCACATCACAGGGCACACTTCAGACTGGCGAGTCCTGGCGAATGGAAATACGTGCTCTTCACTGATCGGAGGCACGCACACACAAAGAACACCACGTGCCAACAGGGAAGGAGGAGCTCCTGCCTGGGGCACCAACCTCGAGTCCCACGCAGTGGAGACTGCATGAAGCCACAGACCAAGGGGGGGAGTGGCGCTGGGGGGTCTCAGACACGCGGCGCACAATCTAGAGTCAGGGGGTGCGACGGGAAGGGCCGCGAGGGCCTCTGCATGCTGCGCCTTTCCGGTTCCGGGACGTCGTGGGCAGCAATGTGGTCTATTCATCTGAAAGCCACAAGCAGACACACTTGCAACTTTGCTCTCCCCACGCGCTACGTGGTGACGAACTATTCTCACGGAGCGTTTGTGACGCCCTGTCTGTACACTGGGCAGCGGCCCCGTCTTCCCAGCCCCTTTCTGCACAAGCACCAGCGGCTCTGCCCACGCCAGGGAAGGTCCCACCCGCCCAGCAGCCGGTGAGGCCTGGAGAGAAGCTGCCAGCCGGCCAGCCCCCGGCGACCCCCTTCCCAGGGCCGCACCCAGGGGCCCAGCAGCCCCCCAACAGCACGCATGGCCAGGCAGGGTCCATCCACCGCACCAGGCTCCTCCCCTGGAATGTAAGCAAACCTTCTGTGGCAGGGAGCTTGCTGCCCCCATTAATGGAACCGGCCAGGGAGGGACCCGAAGAATGCTACTTCTGTCCTTTCGGACAGCCGATGTCGTGGCGGTCACCACCCACGTGGGTTCAGAAAGAGGGAAAGCTTGAGTCGTCACACAACTAAAACCAGGCTGGAACCAAGCAGAGAGCGCTTGGGGAACCCTCATCAGCAGTGGGAGTAGGAGGACTGAGACAGGGCTGGGAGGTGGTGGCTGGCTTCGGGGCAGGTTTCCTGTGGTCAGGGCCACTGGAGCAGGGGCTGACCCGGTGCCCTGCGGCCCGAGGTCCCCACTCCACACTGTCCAGGACAGAGGACAGAGGCACAATCCCGCCCACAGCGGGCCAGGTCCACTTAGGCAGGTGCCCCTGCACACAAGTGGCCAGGACCCATGACGTGGCTCAGCACGCGCCAGGCCACTAGGCCCTAACTTGGCGCACCCTGAGCTGGGTAGAAAGAGCCTTCACAGGCTTCCCCGAGACCCTGCTGGGCCAGGAGCCCCGTGCACACAAGAGGGGAAGGACGGCGAAGAACAAGCCACTGGAGCCCTGGGACTCAGCGTCCCCAGCCCATTCCCACTGCCTCTGCCACGAGGGGTGACGCCGTGTCTGGGGGTGATGCCTGCGTACAAGTCCGCAGCAACAGCAGCCCCCCCAGCACGGTGCGCTCGCCCTCCAGGTGTCTGGAACATCCCCTGGGACAGAGATCTGACACAGGGAGTCTGCTCCAGAGCCCTTGCTCTGAACCACCCCCACCCCGCAAGAGGGGACGCGCACATCTGGAAAGGAAAGCAGCTGTCCGAGCAGAGAGCTGGCCCCGGGTGGCCTTGTCACAGCTGCGCTGCTCCCCTCCAGCCCCAGCAGCAGAGAGAGGAAGGAGGGAGAAAGCCCCAAACCCACCACTGCCGCATCTCACACCAAAGAGAGGAAATGCCCAACACAGGATACCCGTTTCCTCTGCACACTGGCCACGGAAAACAGGAGCCCCTTCCAAGGCTCACCCTGGTACTGGCGTCTGAGTGTGGGCCAAAGCTGCTCGGGCAAGGCAAAAATGTAGACACGGGGGTTGGAGGAGAGCTGGGGCCAGGCCCGGGCCCATGGCCAAGCGGGGCTCACCCTGCATTACTCACACACTTGCCCAACACCCCTGTAGACCAGGCTGAGGTGGTCAGGGAAGAACCTCTGGGCGGCAGGCGAGGAAGACATGCAGGGGTCAGGCTGGAGGTCAAGTGCTCTCCTGGAGCCCAGCACCAGGGCAGCCATGGATTACCAGGTCACCAGGGAGCAGGCGTGGGGTCCGGCTGAAAGAGCTGCCTGGATGGCAAGAGGAGGTAGGCTGTGGCCCACACAGGGCTGGGCGCCAGGATTTTAGCACATATCCAGAAAGCAGAGAAATGCACCACCACACCACCAAAATCGTTCTGTTCCAAGTTCAAGTCAAGCCAAGCTCCAAACAATGAAAGTGGCTGTTGAAGCCTGCCTAGTCATCCTGCCTGGCCCCTGGCCACCGCTGACCACAGAGGGCAGGGGCGTCCAGGCCACGTGGCAGGCACCTCTGGCAAGTCTTCCCTCCTGACCCCCACACTGGCATCTGCCAAGACAAGCGCCCGCTGGCCAGGGCATAAGCAAGGCGGCCTGCTCGTGGCAGGCTGGCTGAGACCCACTGACTCAACAGCACCACTCTGTTTAGAGCAGCAAAGCCCATGTGCCCCAGCCCTCCCCTGCCCACCTCAGAGCCCAGGCAAGTGCCAGACGTGGTGTTTACAGACAAGGGGCAGGCGCACCAGCGCTGACTCCCCCGGGAGAGTACATGGGCTCAGGAAGGCCAGTATGCTCAAGGCAGGGGACAGGTGACCGCCCCTCTTCACCCCCTAGCCTTTACAAGCCCAGCAGGCATGCAGCCCAGCCTGCCTAAGAATAGGGCACTGTGGGTCCTGCCACGTCGCCCCGCCCTCCCCACTGGTATAAAAGCCTGGGCTGCAAGATTTAGCCCAGGCTCAGTCCAGGAAGGAAGCTCAGAGGCCACACGAGAGGGGAGCAGAGCCCAGTGAGATGCCGCCTGTGCCCGGCCCCTCCCAGTGCCCTTACTCCCTGCAGGGACTTCAGCACAAACACTGGCAAGCTTGCCCCCCACCCTGAAACACTGAAATAGAAGGAACAGCCTTTCATTAGAAAAATACCGGAGAGAAACAGAAGGCCACCTCTACATCGTGGAAGCACAGAGGGAAGCTTCCAGAGATGGGGTTACTGTGAGACAGGCACAGGCCAAGGAGCCAAAGGGGGGTGGGGACGAGCTCTCCCCCACAGCACCCCCAGGCCCATAGGTCGCCCCAGTCAGTCAACTGAAGGGTCAGCCTGCCCCTCACAGCCCTGCACGATACAGCCCAAGAGCACTGCACAGCGCAGGTCTAGGGAGGACACAGGGCGCCAGGAGGTACCGAGTTGGCCCAATAGCCTCACAAGGCAAAGCCAGTGGCACCTGGGTTACCCCGTTAATAGGAGCATGAGGGTCAGAAACCCCCAGAACTCCATCCACACGAGAGCACTGCCGGCAGCCACCCT